AGATACTTTGACTTCTTCCCTACCAATTTGGATGCCTTTATTTCTTTTTCTAACCTAATTGCTCTTGCTAGGACTTCCAGCACATTGTTGAATAAGAGTAGTGATAAAGGGCATCCTTGTCTGGTTTCCCTTTTCAAGGGAAATGCTTTCAAAGTCTCTCCATTTAGGATGATGTTGGCTGTTGACTTTATATAAATGCCCTTAAGTATATTGAGGAATTTCCCTTCTATTCCTATTTTGTCAAGAGTTTTTATCATGAATGGGTGTTGGACTTTGTCAAATGCCTTTTCTGCATCAATTGATAAGATCATGTGGCCGTTGTGTTTTGTTTTATTTATGTGATGGATTACATTGATTGTTTTTCTAATACTGAACTATCCCTGCATACCTGATATAAATCCCACTTGATCATGGTGAATTATTTTTTTTGATATGTTGCTGATTTCTATTGGCTAGAATTTTGCTGAGGATTTTTGCGTCGATGATCATGAGGGATATTGGTCTGCAATTTTCTTTTTCTGTGGTGTCTTTACCTTGTTTTGGTATCAGGGCTATGCTGGCTTCATAGAATGAGTTTGGGAGTATTCTGTCCTTTTCTATGCTCTGAAATACCTTTAGTAGTAGTGTGTTAACTCTTCTCTGAAAGTTTGGTAGAATTCTCCAGTGAAGCTATCCAGGGCCTTTTTTTTTGGTTGGGAGTTTTTTTTTTTAATTACCTTTTCAACCTCTTCATTTGTTAATAGGTTTATTTAGTTGTTCTACCTCTGTTTGTGTTAGTTTAAGTAGGTAGTGAGTTTCCAGAAATTTGTCCATTTCCTCTAGGTTTTCCAATTTGTTAGAGTACAATTTTTCGTAGTATTCTGTTATGATTCTTTGAATTTCAGTTGCGTCTGTTGTGATGTCACCCATCTCATTTCTCACACAGGTTATCTGCTTCCTCTCCTGTTTTACTTTTGTCAGTTTGGCCATTGGTTTATCAATTTTGTTGATCTTTTCAAAGAACCAGCTTTTGGACTTGTTAACGCTTTCTATTGTTTTTCTATTCTCTGTTTCATTTAATTCTGCTCTAATTATTATTTCCTTTCTTCTGGCACCTGAGGACTTCTTTTGCTGCTCTCTTTCTGCTTGTTCCAGTTGTAGTGTTAATGTTTTGATTATGGCCCTTTCTTCTATAAACTGATCTCTGAGCACTGCTTTTACTGTGTCCCATAGGTTCTGGTAGGATGTGTTTTCATTCGCATTTGATTTTATGAATTTCTTTATTCCATCCTTAATTTCTTCTATAACCCAGTAGTTTTTAAGCAAGGTGTTGTTCAGTTACCATGTGTTTGATTTTTTTTCCTTGCTTTTTCTGTTGTTGATTTCTACTTTTATGGCTTTATGGTCAGAAAAAACGTTTTGTAATATTTCGATGCTTTGCATTTTGTTAAGGCTTGCTTTATGACCTAATATGTGGTCTATTCTGGAGAATGTTCCATGTGCGTTGGGAAAGAAAGTATACTTTGTCTGCTGTTGGGTGTAGTGTTCGGTATATGTTGATGAGATCAAGTTGGTTAATGGTAGCATTTAGCTCTTCCGTGTCTTTGTTGAGCTTCTTTCTGGATGTTCTGTCCTTCGCTGAAAGTGGTGTGTTGAAATCTCCTACTACTACTGTGGAGCTGTCTATCTCTCTTTTCAGTTCTGTTAGAGTTTGTTTTATGTATTTTGGAGCCCTTTTGTTGGGTGCATAAATATTTATTATAGTTATGTCCTCCTGGTGTATTGACCCTTTTGTCCTTCCTTATGCTTTGTGGTGGATTTTACTTTAAAGTCTATTTTGTCAGAGATTAATATTTCCACTCCTGCTCTTCAAAAAGTGGTTTGCTAGATATATGTTTTTTCCATCCTTTGCGCTTTAGTTTGTTTGTGTCTGTAAGTCTAAAGTGTGTCTCTTGTAGGCAGCATATAGACGGATCGTGTTTTTTTAATCCAGTCTGCCACTCTTTATCTCTTTATTGGTGCATTTAGTCCATTTACATTCAGCGTAATTATTGATAGCTATGAGTTTAGTGCTGTCATTTTGATGTCTTTTTTTGTGTGTTGTTCACAGTTTCTTTTTTCTACTTAATTTTCTGTGCTGAGTCATTTTTCTTTATGTATTTTCATCTTTTTCATTGTTGTTGATTTTGTGTTTGCTTAGTCTTTATATTTTTCTAGTTTCTTATTTTGACTTGTAGGATTGTTAGTTTCCTTTGTGGTTACCTTAATATTTACCCCTGTTTTTCTAAGTTTATACCAGTCTTTTATTTCTTTATAGCACCTTGACTTCCTCTCCATATGAAAAATCTATGTCTACATTTTTAAGTCCCTCTTTTTAATGTTGTCATCTTTTACATATTGACATCTGTTTCCTTATTTTCAGTGTTTTAGCTTTGTTTTACTTTTATGACTTTCCTGTCTGGGTTGATATCTGGTTGCTCTGTCCTGTGTTCTAGTCTTGGGTTGTATCTGATGTTAATGATTTTCTAACCGGAGGACTCCCTTTAGTATTTCTTATATTTTGGCTTGATTTTTGCAAATGCTTTAAACTTCTGTGTATCTCTAAATACCCTAATTTCGCCATCATATTTGAGAGACAGTTTTGCTGGATATGTAATTCTTGGCTGGCAGTTTTATTCCTTCAAGGCTTTATATGTGTCATCCCATTGCCTTCTTGCCTGCCTGGTTTCTGCTGAGTAGTCCAAGCTTATTCTTATTGATTCTTCTTCATAGATGACTTTTCATTTATCCCTAGCCACTCTTAAATTTCTCTCTTTATCTTTGGTTTTGGCAAGTTTGATTATAATATGTCTTGGTGACTTTCTTTTGGGATCTCCCTTATGTGGGGTTTGATGAGCATCTTAGATAGATATCTTGTCATCTTTCACGATATCAGGGAAGTTTTCTGCTAACAAATCTTCAACAATTCTCTCTCTATTTTCTGTTATCCCCCCCGTTCTGGTACTCCAATCACTCGTAGGTTATTTCTCTTGATACAGTCTCACATAATTCTTAGGGTTTCTTCATTTTGTTTTTTAATCCTTTTCTTTGATTTTTCCTTAAATAATTTGGTGTCAAGTGCTTTATCTTCAATCTCACTAATTCTGACTTCCATTGCCTCAGTTCTGCTCCTATAACTTTCTATTGAGTTGTCTAATTCTGAAATTTTATTGTTAACCTTCTGGATTTCCGATTGCTGTCCGTCTATGGATTCTTGCAGCCTGTTAAATTTGTCATTATGCTTTTCTCTAATCTTTTTAATTTCCTCTATTGCGTGTTCTGTGTTTTGCTTAATTTCCTTCCTGATTTCTTGAAGAGTTCTGTATATTAATCTTTTGTATTCTGCCTCTGGTAATTCTAAGAAATTTTCCTCCTCTGGAAAATTTCTAGATTCTTTATTTTGGGAGCTTGCTGAAGCCATCATGAATTGCCTCTTTATGTGATTTGATATTGACTGTTGTCTCTGAGCCATCAATAAGTTATTGTATTTATTTATTTTATGTTTGCTTACTGTGTCCTAGCTTCCTGTTTTGTTTTGATATGCCCAAGTAGGCTGCTCATATGAGTTAGTTTGATTATTGGCACCTTTGAAGCTCTGGTGTCCTGTCACCAGGTGGTTAGGTCTGTTACTGGGTATGTGAGCTCAAGAGTCCGCCCGCTCCTCTTGTATGGATTCAGCTCAGGTGCCCAGGTAGATAGCCACCAAATGTGTGGTGTAGGCTCTCACTTACAGTCCTAGACAGGCATGGGTGATTGGTGTAGGCACAGGCATCTGGCTGCAGCAGGGTGACACCCTCTGAGCAAGGCAGTGGGCTGATGGCCGCCCCCAGGTCTCCAGGAGGAAGGCATGTCCCTGTTCCCTAGAGCATCTAGGTGCGTGGGTTTTGCAGCCTGACTCTGAGCACCTAATGCTGTTGGCTGTAAGGACTAGGAGGCATCTCTTATTCATGGGCCCCTATCGCAGGTGGCGAGGTGGCATGGGTGGAGTCACCAGTCCTCAGGCCCCTGATGTGGGTAGGTGAAGACCCTGCTTAATGGGCAGAGCAGTGTCAAATGTTAAGAACCTGCCACTTCACAGCTGAAACAGTTGAAGTTAGAGTTCCAGTATATACCCTGTTGTATTGTGGTAATGAGGGCCTACGCTGTTGAGATGGGCTCACACAAGTCTCTGCAAGGGGAAAGGCACTCAAAGTCCATGGATCCCTTATGCCAGTGCCTAGGCAAAGGAGCTGTGCCTATCCTGGGTTCCTGGGTTAGGGGAGCTGGCAGTTTATTTTTTCCCGTTTGTTAATTTGTTCACTCTCCAAGGCAGGGAGAATGGCTCCGGGCGTGTGATGGATCCTACTTCCGGCGCAGGGGACTCGGCAATTGCTGAAGCTGGTCAGGGACCCAGTGCAGAGCAGGGAGTGGGGAGGTAAATGGGAGAGAGGTTTTTCCCTAAGGGGGTTGTTTTTGATCCACGTGGTAAGCCATACGCAAGTACTTATCTTTTGCCAATGAAGGCTGCTTCTCACTGGTTCTGGGTGGCCATTTAGATTTTCTGGGGCTGGGTCTCTCCCCGTGTGGAAAACACACCTCCCGAGCACCGCCACTTGCCTGCCTCACTGCTCACCCAGGAGATGCTCGGGCCTGCAGGGCTCAGGCTCTCGCCGGGTCAGGTCTGGCAACTGCTCACTGCCTCTGAACCATCTCTCCCTCCCCCTGCCAGTCAGTCCGGTTCCTCAACTCTGCCTTTGATGTTCAGGGCTCCCAGATTGCCATATATAATTGAATCACTTGTTTTTCGGGCCTTTGTTGTAAGAGGGTCCACCGGAAGCATCTGACTACTCCACCATCTTGGCCCCGCCTCCGAACACCTCTTTATTAATAAATTACCTCATTTGCTAAGTTATTAAGTAGAACAGTCAGAACAACAGTGGTCGTGCTGAAGAGGGCCCAAACACATACTGCAAGACCTGCCCAGGGTCCACTGGGTCATAGGCTGAGAAGCCACAGAGCCTCACCCCCATTCCACAGCCTGCACAGTGTATCCTCGGCCTGCACGGCTGGACCGAATGCTCTGTGGGGAGGCCCGCCCCCGAATCTCTCAATACATGGTTCTTCCTTCATCATCTGTGACTAATGCATGGCATACAGATTGGAGTGAGAAGTAGACATTTATTTTTGAACTTCTGATGGGTTTCTAGTGACACTGTTTCTGCTGGTTTAATTACAGGGACTGTCTCAGTGATCACACACTCCCCAAACTGCCCACCAGTACAGCTCAGGAGAGCAAAAGTCCGAGTGTCCTTATTTTTCTTCTATTCACCGCATTTTCATTTTTATTCTGGTACTCTGAGACCTGTGAGATTATTATTAAACATAAGCTGTGGCTTCATTGTTTTTATTTTTTGTTTTGTTTTAATTTTTATTTATTTGTTTATTTTTGCTTAGAAGTGTGAACGGCTACTTTTATTTCTTTACTGCCATGAAATGAGCCTGGCTTTTCAAGACCCAGTTCCTCTAACCGTAAGTATGAATGATATTTTATCCTTTTTTACACATCACGATGACATTTCTGAAATTTAATTTATGAGAATCTAGTTTCTACACCATTTTCCAGTTGTTGGTTAATTATATCTAATGCAAACCTTAGAGCTTATTAGTATACAGTGAATGCTCTGATCCTGAGTAGGTACATTTTAATGTTACTAAATTGGCCCAAAACTTCCATTCATTTCTCAGGTAATTTTTAGTTCTCATCCTATTTATTTTACCTGCTCTTCCCTGGGATGATTTCTATCAGTTTTTTCCCCCTCAGGAGGTTTAGGCATATCCAAAGCTGTTGGAAAACTTTTTCATTTGAGATAAAGGCCCAAAATTCTCTGTACCATATTTTTATTCAAATAGCATACCTTCTGTGTTTGTTTGCCAACCGTGCCCTCCCCTCTGTGAGGTATTTTCATAAGCACCATTATGCCAATCTTTTTTACATGTTGCTGTAAAAAAAATTAGCATAGCGCACTTAACGAAAATACCTCGTTGAGGAAGGGCACGGTTGGCAAACAAATGTTGAAGGCGCACGTTATTTGGGTAAAATGCAGTACTTATTTGATTTATAGGTCCAAACCCGTTGCCGCTGAGTCGATTCCAACTCATGGTCACCCTGTAGAACAGAGTGGAACTGCTTTATAGGGTTTCAAGGGAGCAGCTGGTAGATTCAAACTGCCAACCTTTTGGTTAGCAGCCAAGCTCTTAACCGCTGCACTACCAGGGCTCCGTTACAGGTCCAGAGTTCAATAAATAGGAAGAATTTAACAATAGAGAAAGTGTGTAAACACTGACTTCAAAAAAGTCCATATTGAAAGTTTGATGTGAACTCTAATGCTTGGTTTTAGAGCACTGGAAAGGGCCTACTACCCAAAATATGCTCTCTTGTTATTTTCTGATGTCTGAAATTCCTGAAGAAATTACTAAATTTATTCTACAATTTGAAAAATTTAGAAACTTAATGCCAGATTAGAAAAGAAAACTAGCTTATTAAATATGCTCAGCTGATAACAGTCAGCTACATTCTTGAGAACAGGTTTTGAGAAGTTGAGACAGGGAAAGGAAATCAATACTTCCAGGATGAAGGGCATTTTACGCCCAAAAGAGGAAGGAGAAAATAAGTCGAAGGAGGCTTGTAACGCCAGTACCAGCTCTGTCTGCTTAGGAGCTCTTCCTGGAACTGGCGCTTTGGATCATCTTGGCTTACTGTACCAACAGCAACAGCGGCAGCAAAATAGCTCCCTTTTGCTTAATTTTATCTCATTACAAAATCCTGCAAGGTTGTAGGATTATCCTGTTTGGAATATGAGGAGGTGAGGGTTCAGCGAGGTTAAGTAACTCGCCCACGTATTGAGCAGCAGAGCTGGGGCCTCACCCAAATGCAGGTCCTCATTCTCCCCACGTGCTCCAATACATGCAGTAAAAGCAGGTCAAGTCCTGCTAGAAGTAATCCTCTTTCTAGTAATTGCCCTTTGCTTCATAATGAAGAGGGAGAATAGAGGCCTAAGAGGGAAAATGTGAAGACAAGCTTTCATTAAAAATAATTAGTAAAAAAATTTTAAAAGAAATAACATAAAATATTTACTAATACGTGGGAAGCAGTGGACACTTGTAAATGTTGTCAAATAGGTTTTCTTACCAAGGACAAAATAATACAGAGAAAAGCAATGAGAACAATCTGATTTGTATACACAAGAAGTAAGATTTATTTATGACCAGAATATAGTTATTTGTATTATAACATCTCATTTATTTTGAAAGGTGCCTGATTATTACAAAATAATTAAAAATCCAATGGACTTGTCAACTATCAAGAAAAGACTACAAGAGGATTATTCCATGTACACGAAGCCTGAAGATTTTGTAGCTGACTTTAGATTGATCTTTCAAAACTGTGCTGAATTCAATGAGGTGAGAGAAGAGAGGAAAAAAACAAAAATGCAATAGCAATGTGAAAGTAATCTTCAACCAAACACCTTGTCAGCAAATGAGGAGACCAAGATAACCTATGCTAGCATAAAGGTCCAAAAGCTCGCATCTGTCAGGGAGTTAGGAAGATTTTATCCACATTTAATTTCAAAGGTGGTGTATTGTACGGTGAGTGGAAATGCAAACTATGGCTGATGGCTTGCAGGCAGTGTAGAAAGTACTTTCATCTAACCTAGACGTATTGTCATTCTACCCTTATTTAAATGTGGCCCTTCCAGACTTTAGTCTTCCTCATGTTGATCTTGAACTATTAAAGACGTGATCCATGTGGCTGTAATTTAAAAATCTATTATCTGTCCATTTATCTAACCATCTATCAAATTTACAGCCTTTTTTTTGATGGTTTGTTCTGTGTGTTGGTTACTCATCCCGAGGACCACATTTCATTTCATTTGTTCTAGAAATACCTGTTTCATGGTTCTGGACTGTGGCATGTCTTTGATCTCTCTTTGGCAATCCAGACTTAGCCACTGCTATTCCTTTTCATACTAATCCTGAGAGGTCAAAGCTTGTTGGTCATCGTTAGCTGACTTTCTGTAGACTTTTTCCAGCTCTAGATTATTGATTTCTTTTCTATCAATTACTAGAAAAATGCATAAACATGTTTCCAAAACAATCCACTCACATTCGAATCTCAAGAGTCAGAAGCATGCTGAGGGAACAGGAGTGTGAGAGATTGATTCCTTGTGCTGACTGTCAGTTTTTTTGTTTGTTTTTAAATTCATGGTTGGTTTGTTTTCAACTCATGTTTCGCTTTTCATCCAACAGCCTGATTCGGAAGTAGCCAATGCCGGTATAAAACTCGACAGCTATTTCGAAGAACTCCTGAAGAGCCTCTACCCAGAGAGAAGGTTCCCTACGGCAGAATTCGGGGACGAGCCAGAAGACAATCTCAGTGACGACTCAGATGATGACTTCGTGCAGCCGCGGAAGAAACGCCTCAAAAGCATCGAGGAGCGCCAGTTGCTGAGATGAGCAGCACCGCGGGCACGTGCTGCGTTTTAGGGTGTTTTCTGTTTGCAGTTTCAAGAAACATTTTGTCAATAATTACGACATTACAAAGAAGAATTTGTGACCACTCTGATCTCTAAGTTTTTGATGTTTACCAGACTTTGATTTGCTGAATAACCCATTTCTTCTAACCTCTTATGAAAGAAGGAACAAAGAAAGGAAGGGTGAGAGAGAGAAGCATCAACAGCGAGATAAAAAGACATTGTTCCCACTTCTTGGATTTCGGAATGGCCATCTGGGGCAATAGCTACTAAAGAAAGAAAGTAGACTTTGTATAAACTCTAAGTTGAAATCTTACTGTGGTTTGAATGTGTACGTTAATCCATTTTTTAGAAAGTTAATACCACTACCCGTTAATGATGGCCCGACTCTGAGTTAGGTGTGTGGGACTGAGGAGCGGTACTCCATGGACGTGAGTGGTGTGAGAGTTTTATCCCGGGATGCCAATGGGCGCCATGAAAGGCTAGATTAGATGCTACCAAGAAGGCACCTAATAGTATATCATGTAAGATGGCAACTGTATTAAAGAAAAATCAGGAAAACAAACGTTTGATTTTTGTTTTTGTTTCTATCTTGTCTATGAGGTGTTTCGTAGAGTAGGTTTTCGAGGCTGTTTTTTGTACATTTCTAAAGCTAGACTTTCTTCAGCTTCTTCCCTGGAGGAAGTCAGTGTCCACACATTTGGTGTTGCTGTGTTTCTGTGTGGTTGGTTGATTGGTTGGGCTTTAGCTGTGTAGGTGGTCCTTTCACCATAAGCATCCCTGTTTGCAGCATGACTTTTGGTGGAGCCACCCTAAATTCCAGATGCAGCCGTGGGCGCCGTACTTGCTGTGAGGGTTCTTCATCAGATTCCCTTTGGACATTAAATGTCAGTTCCCCTGAAAGGAGCTAGTTTCTGTGACTTTCATCTGCCTTTATAATTTGAAATGAAAATGTGTTGTGGGATTTGGGAGCAGGCATTTGGGGGGAATTACAGTGAAAATTATGCTTTGTCTGAAGCATCTATTTCCTGTTTTAAGAGTCGGAATTTCAAATTGAACCTTTAGTCTGACTTGATTCTGAGTTTCATTCTTCCCGATACAGACACAAAAGGCTCATCTTCTGAGGGCAGGCCCGTGCTTCAGGGGCCCGGCCCAGCAAGTGTAACTGACTGACACGTGTCCCTTGTCACTTAGTGCTTTCCAGGATCATGAACTGTCAAGGAAGGGAACTAGATTAGGAGAGGAGAAGACAATTGCGGTGCCATTTGCTAATCAAACATGTGACCAAATATTTACACATGGATATTTTTAGTTTGCCAAAGGAAACCTTTATAAAACATTAATGACTGAAGGAAATTTCTCTCTTCCGGCTGATAGAATAGAGCTGACATGAAAGACTGTTAGCCTTTGGATCGTCTCATCTCCCGTGAATTCGTTGCAGAGGAGTTGCTCTTACCCGTGTGGCATTACTTCTTAAAATGGACAACTTGATAATATTCTGTGACTGATTCACTGGGTTTTCAGGTATTGCTGAAGATCAGGTATAAGGAGAAGATAACTTATTAGCAATTGTTTCCCACTTTCTATTTAGTCTTAAGGCTTGCCCAGTAGGTCAACTAAGTATTAACTCTTAAAGTCTCAGTCACTTTTCCAAATATGTGTTGTTTCTCGTTATGCTGTTTTGAATATGCGTTTGACATCTGTTCTCCAAAGACTGTTTGAACAAATTTTGGTAACAATGCATATCACTTATATATACCTTTAAATTGTCTTTTTTTGCTCAAACATTTTTAGCACGGCAGCTGTAGACCTTTTGCTAATAACTTTATTGTTGGTATCTTAGAATACTGTTTTTCTGACAATTTGTTCTTTCAGACTTGTCTCTGAGTTAAAACAGAGCAACGCAAATAAATTATTTTGAGGACCATCACTAAAGGAGGTAGAAGTTAAGAGAGGAAAAAATGCAATTTCCTAAATGGGACTGAGCCAGAATTTCTGCCAGTACCCAAAACTGTCACTACTATATTCAGTGCCGTATGACATTTTTTAAACAGTATACCCGTTTCACCTTCACCACTTTTGCTGACTGAAAGGCAGTTGAGAACCATCCTTCCTGCAGTCGTGTGTGATATAAATTACCATGGTGAAAGTAAGTGTCTTGGGTTTCTCTCTCCAAATAGCCTTTTTGTAATGGTCTTTAAGATTAAAGTCCTGTGACTTTATTAACAAGTACCCATGCCTGGGTGAACCCCAGCAAAGTAGTCCTTCAATTCTGATAGAATCTAGATCTAGAGCACATTTCCCAGAAAGTTCAGGGCCATTAAGCAATCCTGACCTAAACTTGACCGCCCCATAGATTTTGGACTAAGAGCCCCTGTTACCGTGTCATAGCTGCAGGCCCCCCATTGCTGAATATGACCACACCTTGGCCAGGGCTGTGAATGAGCAGATGTGTGGGCACCGGGACTTGCTTAGTTCCCACGCCTGAGCAGCTTTCCGGGTGCTGGCAATAAGGAAACCCAAGTAGACACCATTGTAGGAATGGATGCTGTCTTACGCGTCTTGTGCTGCTGTAATAGAAGTACCACAAGGGAATGGCTTCAACAAACAAGTTATTCTCTCACAGTCTAGGAGGCATCAGCTCCAGGGGAAGGCTTTCTCTGTCAACTCTGGAGGAAGGAAGGTCCTTGTCATCAATCTTCCCCTCGTCTAGGAGCTTCTCCGTGCAGGAACCCCAGTTCCAAAGGACACACTCTGCTCCCGGCACTCCTTCTTGGTGATATGAGGTACCCCCCCCCCCCGCCCTTTTCTGCTTGCTTCCCTTTTATCTCTTGTAAGATAAAAGCTGGTACAGGCCACACCCCAGGCAAACTCCCTTTACATTGGATCAGAGATGTGACCAGGGTAAGGGTGTTACAGCCCACCCTAATTCTCCTTAACATAATCTAATCTTGTCTCAGTATCTACAGGCAGAGATTAGGATTTATAACAGGAAAGTTACAATGACCACAAAATGGAGGATCACCACACAATACTGGGAATCATAGCCTAACCAAGTTAACACATATTTTTGGGGAACACAGTTCAATCCATGACAGACACCATTGTAGGAATGGATTGAGATGAGATGTACCAATAAGAAAACCCAAGTGCACGCCATTGTAGGGATGGTCTGAGATACACTGTTTTAAAGGTAAAGAATATTTACATCATCATTCAGCAGTGCAGTTATTTTGCCCTTTGAATTAACAGGCTCTGCTTATCTTTTCTGAATGGAGGGCAAGAAAGTGGAAACTGCGAAAAGAAAAGGAAAATGTCCCCTTCCTGGGGTAGTTTTACTCCCTTCCAAGCTAAAGAATGGACTGTATTATACTAGCACACAGTAATACAGGTGGAATGTAACCCGGGAATGCTTTTGAAAAGGTTAACTCTGCAGTCAAAAGCGTGATTATGTACACAACTGCTCGGTTTATGAATTTGCATTTCAAAGTTCTGTGCTGTTAGAGTGCTTAAACTTTAAATTTGGGTTCCCTGGAGAGACTAGTCAGTCACCTAAAGGAGAAACTCTTCCTTTTGCTGAGGCCTGATCCACAACTCAGTGTGAATCCCAAAAGTCAGTTGCTGCATGTGAAGAAAAGGTGTTTAGATTTAACTTGAAGATGTACTCGTTTTCTCTTTATCTGTGTTTGTTATGAATGAGAGAAATAGAGTGGTCTGATTGGCCATTAAAATTACAGAGATGACCATGAGTTCAACCATTTAATTTCTTAGTGAAATTGAGCCTTTCCTTTTAAACAGCCATGTATGTATTTTTGAAGTATTTTATAACCTCATGTAAATTAATACTTGCCGTCTTTACAAATGTTTATACACCTTTATCTGGGGTGTCAGCACATGCTGGTGACCCGGGTTCCTGAGTGAGAAGAACGCTAGCCAATCAGATCATAGATTTCTTTCCACAAAGATTCTGCTTGTTGTGAAGGACATTGGAGGCAGGAGTCTTTGTTACCTTTCTTTTTCTTTTTTCTTTTTAATTATTTGGGACAGACTGGTGTTTTGATGTTAATAAAAATTAACTTTGATGGATTTTTACCATAAATATTTTACCAGTAAGGATTCTTAACTGGAAAAATTATTGTATGTCACTCAGTAGGATCCTAACTAGTTTAAGGGTCTCCATTGCTGCTTTTTTGTGTTCCTCTAGCCATAATATTGACACACGTGGGGACTAGCTAAACCAAACCAAATCCATTGCCGTCAAGTTTATTCCGCCTTGTAGCAACCCTGTAGTACAGAGTGGAACTGCCCAATAGGGTTTCCAAGGAGTGGCTGGTGGATTCAAACTGCCAACCTTTTGGTTAGCAACCAAGTCTTAACCACTGCGCCACCAGGGCTCCGGGTACTAGCTACTAGTCCATAAATAACTATAATGCGAGAACATTCTCTTATTATTGTGACTTGTATCTCAGTTTTCTTACCAGCCTCGAAGGATAAACAAAGAAAGAAAGAACTTGACAAGCAGGAAGGAAAGTGGGTGATAGCCCCCATTGCTGATTTTCTCCCCTGAGAAAAACCAGCCCCCGAGAGTGGGAGAACCGGAGATACCAGGGAAGGCTCCACTTGTCTGTGACCCGCGGGAGTGGGGCAGGCAGGAGGGGAACACCCAACGTGGGGACTTGTGCAGGTCACTCTGGAAGCCTGCCTATGTTAATTTCACCTGTAAAGCTTGGAAAGTTTTAATTCTCAGAAATTGTAACTACTATTTTTTAAAATTACTGTTAGATATCTAATAGCCTTTCCTTTGGTGGAGTAGGGACAGCCTTCTATTTGATTCTTAAATTAGTTTGTAAATAGCATAATTAAGTCCTATTTTGAGTCCTCCAACAAGCCTTCCTTGGAAGTTACAAGTAAAACATTTAACAGAATCCCATCTTTCCCACATTTTCAGCTGTGGTGTGGAAGAAAGCCTACTTTAACATCCTCTAACATGTATCAGGATGCTCAGGAATGTCAATTCTTTGCTCATGTTCTAAAATTGTAGCTATTATTGCCTTTAACCCTAAGACAGATGACCCAGAAAATTCCATCAGAAATCTTTCCACTGCAAGGGACTGAAGCTCAGTTGTTGTTTTTGGGGGGGCGGGGTAGATGGCATATACTGGTCCCCCAGGGTTAGGGGGTGGCTGAAGTATATGGTCCCCCAGGGTTAGGGGGTGGATGGAGTATACTGGTCCCCCAGGGTTCGGGAGAGGGTGGTAGATGGAATATACTGCTTCCCCAGGGTTGGTGGGTAGAAGGAGTATACTGGTACCCCAGGGTTGAGCCTTCTCCCCTGCAGTGGGAACACACTGACCTGAGGAGTGGCATTTCCCAGAGAAGGTTGGGGTGTTCGTGAGGCGAGCAGGGAAGAACAGAGACAAGGCAGGTACGAGACTTTGACGATGATGCTGGTCATCTAAGCTCATCCTCTCAGAGGTTTACTAAGAGTGTGTCTTAAGAAAGCCCAGCATACAAAAAGCCCCAAATAGAAGTTTTGGCATTCATACTACAGAAGGGTTTTTTTGCCATTACTGTGCTTTAAAGAGACTTAAGGGAATCAAATTCAACCCTTCTGAACCCTATTACAGCAAAATGTGCCTATACAGAGGTTACAGTTTTGTAACTGTTCTAATACCCCAACCAGGGTTGTCTCTTGGTCTTTTGGTGGGCTGTGAAACCAATCCCAAAAAGGGCAAGTCCTCACAGATGAGTGGCTTGACAGTTGTTGACTTTCTTTTTTGACTAATGACTAATATTAGTAAGTAGCATAAGCAGCATATGAGTTACTAAAGATATCTCAAATCAGTGCTGAGTAAATTATATAGTAGCATTTGCTGTAGACTTGTTTAGTATCTGAGAAAGCCTGGGCGTGAGGCAGCGTAGACATCAAGCTCCCCGAGCCTGATGTCCCACAGATGCTCGGACATGCCTATGGTTGTCAGTGGGCTGTGATTTTCAACCGCTTCTACCTGTTGGTTTTAATTATAAATTGATGTTTACCTCAGTTTGGATTTTCAATTAAGATTTGTGGTGGGTTGTTTGACTAACCCCCCATGTGTAGCCAGAATATCTTTGCATCAAGAATATTGTGGCCTAAAAGCTTCTCATAACTGGACTTTTAAGATGGGCCTGTACACCGTGGCTCATGGGCCAAGTTCAGCTGTGGCCTGCTTTTGTGCAGTCTGAGGGCTGAAAACGGTTTTTAAACTTTTAAAGGATTTAACTGTGTGTGTGTGTGTGTGTGTGTGTGTGTGTGTGTGTGTGCGTGTGTGGGTGTCAGAGACCATATGTAGCTCACAAAGCCTAAAATACTTACTCCTGGCCCTTCACAGAAAAAGTTAAATGACTTTAAGACACGTATGCCCTGTGGTTCAAATGGGATCGTTACCCGTACCCTTAGTGAAATGGGGTACATGGCCACATCATAGGGGTTGGCAGAGTCCTTTTCCTGGTGGCAGGAGCAGGTGCACCGTCTTGGGGTCCCCGACTTCAGTGGCCTCAACAAGAAGCCTGAACAACAATAAAAGAAATGACATATAAACGTAAAAGCCTTAGATGTTTTCTGTCGACAGCCACCTATCCTAGGAGGGCCACGTGCACCGGTGTGGTGTCTCGAGCAATCCGTGTAATTCCATGACATAGGAAACCCTGTGTTCTTTCATCTTCCTAGCATCATGAGAATCAAAGATTACCCCTTAAAGTAATGAAATTAGAGTAGAAATAGAGAATATCTGGAAAAAATGTTTCTTTCCAGCTTCCTGGTATATACAAAGCTCCTGCTAATTTAAGCGTGTTACTTTATCGATAAGAAATTGTGGTTAATAAACAGTGGAGCCACGGTGGTAATGAATATTTTCATTTTAATTGCAAACGTCATGCCTGTTCTAGCTGGCTTGAAGGGCTCGATGGTGTCAGCTCAAGTTCTTGCCTCAGCCACGGAATTTCAGCACAAATGTATATGTATGCATTTTGTCGGAGATTCACTGTTTATTTGTATGAAAGTTAACAGTTTATCAAAGGAGAGAAGCCACCCTCTTCCCTTCCATCGCCCACATACTTTTCCAATCTTAAACTCTATTTTATAAAAGTTCTTTCTATTGTCTTCCAGGGAAGAGATCAATATACAGTTTCCTATCCCATCCCCATATTAGTTTCATGTTTAAAAAATACAGAATCAGTTTCTTGATTACATAGTAGCATACAGAAAATAAAGTTGTTTTTTTTTTTTAAAAAAAAGTACCACAGCTCTTTGTGAAGACTAAAATGCTTTTGTTCTCTGGTAGACATAGTCTGCAGGTCTTCATTTAATTTGCTAAGGGGAAAAAAGTGATTTAATAAGTTAATGTGTTTAATTAAAAAAGTCCATTGATACTCAGCTGTCTGACACTATGAACTAGAAACTAGCAATAAAAGATTGGTCATTTAATAAACTTGCAAGGAATTAAGATCCTAGCATTTGCCGTGTGGACGTGAAAAAGCAGTGCTAGCTTTGTAGTTCACTTAGTCTAGTGCAGTACAGACATCGTTTAGAAAAACTCAAGTTTCAACATCCTCTCGCGACAGTGGTTGGATTTTTGGCTGAAAAGGAATTTCATAGAGCGGCTGTAAAATGGAATCAATACCGCCTTTAAACTACTGGCCAGGTTGATTCACCCAGTCCAATTATCAGGACGCCAATGCATGTTGTTGGAAGGGGTTAAGTTTTTGGCACACTCCTTTAGCCAGGGGGTTTCATAAGTTAAGTGCTCACCACACTGCAAGGTACTCGTTGGACCTTTTTTGCAAAAGAGAAATAACATACTGAGATTCAGTTCCAACCCAAGAATCCTATGTTTATACTTCCACCACGTTACTGCGACCCCGTGAATCTTTAGGCTCACAGTATTTTAGAGTGAGAACAAAACATTTTTAGGAATAATCTGGTCAAACTTCTTTCAAAAACTGTGGCCAAAATAAATTTTTAGATGTGTCCAAAGACAGGTAGCTATTGAGTGGCAGAGCCAGTGCACTTGTGTTTACTGAATCTACGTGTGCAAGTTGTAAGACAACGGCCCTTAAAAGGTTTTAAGCAGACAAAATTATTTTGCCACGGTTCTAAAACCACGGTCCAGTCAACAGAAGAGGGGCTAGTCCTTAGTAAGGGCACATGACTTGAACGGGAAGTCCGTAGGGCACACTGGATGGAGAGCCAGGCCTGTTTTATAGGTATTGTTACTTATAACACTGCTTAAAAAAATAAAACTAGCCTGAAAAACTTGAAGGGCATGCAGTCACATAACACAGCATCACTGAATTTTGCAGGCGGGTTTGCACCCCAGCCCCACTGCACACTAGTGCTTCCTTTACATAAGTTTCCCGGCTTCCCTGGGCCTTTATCTCCTCGTTTGTGTAAAGGGGGTGACGATCCTTGTTGAAGGGAAACATAGGAATCATCTCATTCCGACTCTGGCTTTGAGAATGAATGGGTCACCTCTCCAAGAAGAAGCCTAAACAAAGCCCTAGATTCATAAATACATGACAGGTTAGCTAATCTGTGATTAAAATGCACCTTGCCTTGAACATAAACAAGAAAAAAATGGACAGCACATTTGGACCTAGGGCAAAACCCATCAAGACGGATGCAATTTTTTTTCTTTACTCAATAGTGCCTGTCTTATCTGTATCTACTCAGCATAATGCCTCTGCACCAACGCACATACTGACCTGTCCACAGTTTACTCTGGGTGCGGTGCAGGCACCTGGGAGCCGGGGGAGGGGGGGAGTCACATTCGGCCACGGCTCTGGGCCAGCCTGACTGTCCTCCACCCCCACGTGCACACGCGTGCTCTCGCACAGCAGTAGCAGCCTGTGCTTGGTGTCAGGCACACAGGCAGCACCTGTGCTTGGAGCTGACCCCTCTTCACTGACTGACACAAGGCAGCGGGGTGGGAGAGGCCTCTCTCTGACAACCTTGCCTTTGCTAGCCTGACGTTTGGGGTGTCCCTTTGCGAAACGGAAGGAACAGCCAGTGTCCACTGACCACCAATAGTGTTGGAGGGCAACTAGTGTGGTGCAATGGTTAAGTGCTCGGCTGCTAACCAAAATGTTGGCAGTTCGAACCCACCCAGTGGCTCCGCAGGAGAAAGACCTGGCAATCTGCTCCCGTAAAGATTTACAGCCTTGAAAACCCCATGGGGCAGTTCTGCTCTGTCACTTGGGGTCACTAAGAGTCAGAATCAGCAACACCCAACAACATCCTGTCTCGGGCAGCGGGCGGTGCGAGGGGAAAGAAGCCGGCCAATATGTGGAGACATGGGATCCTGAGTGTGATGCACATGGCCGTCAGCTCCTGGTCACCTTCAGCTCCGCAGTGACGCTTCCATCCAGAGGGACAAGAATGGGGAAGAATGGTGCGGCCACATGGCTGTCACCAACCCTCGTCCCCTTATTCAGGCCACAGCTTCTCCAGTAAGCAGGGCTTCGGCTGCTCACAGCAACATGCAGGAGGAAGCAGGTACCCCAAAAGGAGAGCGACGGGCCTGGGAGCAAAGGTTAACGGCCTGTTCACACGTCTGCTGAAAGGCAGGCAGGCCACACCAAGTCCCTTTCCTTTGGTCAAGAGCGGTGGTTGGGAATCAACATTCCTCACGTGGCTTACCTGCAGGGCCCGTCCTTTGGTCTCGATGGGGAGGGTAAATGCAGAAATGGCACAGATGACACAGACAGACGAGAACAGACACAGGGCCCCCAGGAACGAGGCACTCATGAGGACCTGCAAGTCACAGGGAATGGCTCCATTTATCGTAGCCCAAGTCACCTCTAACCGAGCCTTTAGGTCAAAGGGAAAACAAGGACTCCTCTCCCCCAAATACATCCATGACAGTCCTAGGCAGCCACAAGGTAACTGCATCCTGGCATCTCAGGCCTGTGATTTATTGGACTGAGCTGGGGTGGGCATTTTGTGGCTTCCTCCAGGAGCTGGGACTCACGTCACCTTATGCCCCTTCTTCTACACCCATCCCCCAGGCATCTCCAGTGGGGGGTCCGTGCCCCCCATGCCAACCCCCTATGTCAATTCAGCTTGCTTAGCTTCTAACCCTCTCACTCCATGCTATGCCCGTGCTCCTCTTCAGTCCTGGCAAGGTGAACCAAAAGAAAGTGTTTTGGGGAGAGCTGTAATCTCAAAGTTTCCACAACGATGAGCAGCACTTCTCATCTCTGTTCATAATACTTCATGTGTGACAGCCAGTAAGACTTTCTGCTGTGTGGCCATTCTGGTGCAGCGCACATGGGTTTCTGCCAATCCATAGACGTCCTTTGGCCCAGACCTTCCCTCCCCGGGCCTGGCTAGTTTGGACACGTCTTCTCACACCGTGGTTTCCCCCAGACTCTGCCCAGAGTGGGCGGAGCAGAGATGGTAGTGGCACTACTCTCACGAGGACTGTTAAGTGACTGAGGAATGGCAGAGCGCTCTAGACACAATATAATATTGCCATTTGGAGAGACCTTCAAAATCACCTGGTCTGGTCCAACCTCCTCACTTTACAGGTGAGCCTAGAGCAGGGGCTAAGTGACAGCTTGTCCGAGTCACACCCAGGTCCCTGACACACAGCATAGTGTTCCTGGCACCACTTACGTCCCCTAAGATCCACGGTTGGGAGCCCAACCCCTATGTATAAGGCCTGCTGCTTTCCACATCAGCAAATGATTCCGTGACATTAACCTCATTATCTATTTTGTGGTTGAGCGAACAAGTGATAGGTACTATACTTTGATCCTGTCTTCTGATATAAATTACAAATTTCCCAAACAGGAGCTTGTATAACTAGCACATATATAGTTGCTTCCGGAAGGCTGGAGAACCAGACTCAGAGAAGGGATGGAAACCACAAGAAGCCAGGCAGATCGAGCCACGACCAAACCATGCCATGGTTAGGCATGTGGCCGGACTCCGCCATTGCTGCCACCTGTTACGGGACGCCAGAGCTCTGGACACTACGAGAACGAAGTCTGAACTATCACTATGTCACGTCCTTTGCACCAGATGCAAAGTCCTGGGTGGTGTGGGGCCCTGGTGGGTGGAGTGTAAGTCACATAACTGTGTTCCACCAACCAGCCAGGGTCAGGGGGAGAAACTGCTTAGTCGTTTTGTTGGCTTCCCTAGAGGGAGACAGGGCTCCACTGCCTACCAGGACTAGTCAATGTCACTGGATATCCAGCCAGTAAATTCCTCTTCCGCCTAAGTCACCAAAGGCAGTTTCTATTGTTTGCAAACAAGAACCCTGAGTGACACCTCATTATAATAACCCCCGGGGGGTGTTAAATTCAGATTCCCGGTCCCCACGCAAGATTCATTATCTCAAAAAGCGATCTGTTAATCACTACTTTTAAAAAGCAGCCCAGGCCAGGGACAAAGACGGACATTGCAGAATGATAAAAGGGTCAATCCAACAAGAAGACAAAACAATCCTAAATGTGTATGTACCAAGTAAAAGAGCTTCAAAATTCATTAAGCAAAAACTGATAAAACTGGAAGGACAAATCCTCATGTCATCGGAGACTTCAACACCCCTCTCTCCACAACTGATAGGACTATTAGGGAGTCAACAAAGATACAGAAGAAGTTACCACCACCATCAGCCAGCAGGATCTGACAATGAGAAAACACGGCACCCAACAACAGAATACGCATTCAAGTGCCCCCAGAACATTCACCAACCTAGACCACATCGTGGGCCATAGAATAAACCTCCACAAACTTAGAAGAATTGAAATCACATAGTGTGTTCTCTGACTAGAATGGAATTAAGCTAGAAATCAATAACAAACCTAACAGCAAAATCTCCAAACACTTCTAAATCTCTTGCACATGTTGATTCTGTGTTGGTGTCTCCTTCCCGGAGGCCCCAAATTGATCCATAAGGTATATGGGTAAAGACGTTGGATAGAAAATTAATATAAAAATTAATATTCTCTGTAAAAGATGATTAGAAAAATTATTCATCAAGTATGTTGAGTGCCCATTATATGCCAGGCACTGTAGTAGGAGCTAGGAACACAAAAATTAGTAAAACAGGCACACATCCGTCCCTTCTGGGGCTTAAAGTTTATTGGAAGAGAGAGACTTTAAATAGCCCCTTAAATTAACAGGCAATTACAGTCTGACAAGTGGAATGAAAAAAAATGTCAAGGTGCTGTAAGAGCTCAGAGCAGGGAGGTCAGACTCAGTCTACACCAGGGTGGCCTTCCTTAAGGAAGTGATGAGTCTTAGCTAGCTGGAGGTGGAATGGGAGAGGGATCCAACTAGCACGTGAGAAAACCTCAAGGAGCAAATAACTGGTGCTTTTGATGAACTGGAGTTCCTGGGTGGTGCAAACAGTTAAGCGCTCAACTCCTAACCAAAAGGTTGGCAGTTCAAACCCGCCCAAGGGCACCTGGCAAGAAAGGCCTGGTGATCTACTTCCAAAAAAATCAGCCACTGAAAACTCAATGGAGTGAAGTTCTACTCTGATACACATGGGGTTGCCATGAGTCGGAGTTGACTCAATGGCAACTTGTTTGCTTTTTTGGTTTGATGGACTACAAGAGCAAGCATGTCTACAGCTAGCAAACGCAGGAAAGAGTACAAGATGGGATCCTGATTACCAGAGCCCTGCAAGTCATCTTGACGATTTCGGTCTTTATCTATGAGGATGGCGAAGAGGATAAGGAGGGATAAGACCTGCATGTATGCAGGAGAAAAGCGAGTTGAAGGGGAGTAAAAGTACACAGAAAAAGACCGGTTAGGGTGCTGTTTTAGCAGTCAATAAAAGGGGATAGTATTTGAAACAGAGTGACGCTGGTGGTGGACACGGGATAAGATGAGCAAATCAGGATCCATCAGAAGGTTAAACCGACGTGGTTTGGGATTGAATGTGAAGACGAGATGGAAGGAAATGGAGAAGCCTCGCTCCCAGCTTGGAAAGCAGTGCCATTCACAGATGGAAACTCTGGGACAGCATGGTTTGGGGAGAAACGTCATGATTTTAATTTTGGACTTGCAGAATTTAAGATGCTTTTGACACATCCAGAAGCCCTGGTGGTGCAGTGGTTAAGAGCTCAGTTGCTAACCAAAAGGTCGGCAGTTTGAATCCACCAGCTGCCCCTTGGAAACCCTATGGGGCAGTTCTACTCTGTCCTGTAGGGTCGCTATGAGTCAGAATTAACTCTACAGCAATGGGTTTGGTTTCTTGTTTTTTTTGTTTGTTTTTGTTTTTAGTTTGACACATCCTAGTAGACATGTAGAGGAGACAATTAGGTATATGAATCTGGAGCTCAGAAGAGAGGCCTGAGTGAGAGATATAAATTGGTGAGCCATGAGCATATAGTTGGTGATTAAAATCATAAAAATCTATGAAATCATCTATAAGAAGTGTAGACTAAGATGAGGATCTAGTATTGAGCAAAAAGGAACTGCCAACAAGTAGAGAAAGTACAGGAAGATATGCCACGAAGACACTGAGAAGAGCAGCCAATGAGGTAGGAGAAAACTCCCCAGAGTGCACGGCGGTGGGCACTTGGGAAGACGGTGTTGGAGACGGAGGCGTGGCCATCCACCCTTACAGTGGGCGAGAACCCATCACCATCTTGTCGATTCCAACTCATAGCGACCCTATAGGACAGAGAAGAACTGTCCCATATGGTTTTCAAGGAGTGCCTGGTAGATTCAAACTGCCGACCTTTTGGTTAGCAGCCGAGCTCTTAACCACTGTGCCACAGTGGGCAAGAGGTCACGGGAAATAAGATTGAAAGGACCACTGGCTGGAGAGACAGGGAAGTCACTGGGGACCTTATCAAGGATCATGTTGGTGGGATCAGGCTGCAGCCAGGCTGGAGAAGGTGAAGGAAGGAGGGGGAGGGAGGCAGTGGGACAGTGAGGAGAGGAACCCTTGGAAGTGGTTTGGGTGAGAAAAGGAGAAAAGAACTGGTCGTCAGGGTCGAGTTTGTAAGCTGTAGAATATTCAACATTCGGTGATGCTGACTGGGAGGATTCGTCGTGGAGGGACAGATTGGGACACTGGAGCGATAACAATTATAAACCTGAGAAACGCAAGAGAATCCAGTGAAGAAACGAACCATTAGAAATGAGTGCAGTAAGCCGGCTGGTTCAAAATCAACAGACAAGAAACAATAGTCTTTCCAGATACAAATATTAGTAACAGAATGTGGCAAAAGAAGTTATAGTGGAAGAAAATAATCTATTCACAGTAACGACAAAAGTCATAAAAGGCCTAGGAATAAACTTCACAAGATGGGCGGGATCTATTTGAAGAAAACAGTAAAATCCCAGCAAGGTGAAGAAATAAAGAAACAAATCTTGTGCTTAGATAGGAAGACAATGCTGTAAAAAAAAAAAAAAGCTGATTTTCCCTAAATCAACCCACACATTGAAGGAATAACAATTAAAATCTTACTAGGATCTGAGTGGGCAAGGGAGGTGGATCACAAGTAAATGTATCTGAGAAAGCAGAGCAAGGAGCTAGAGTTCTGAAGATGGACTATGAATCTCATTACAATGATTAAAAGAAAAGAACAATGACAGACCCAGACAGATCAATGGACTAAAACAGTGAGGCCAGAAACAGTCCAAGTAATGGTGGAAGCAAAATCAAACCAAAACCAAAAACCCAAACCCATAGCTGTCAAGTTGATTTCCAGACTCATAGCAACCCTGTAGGACAGAGTAGAACTGCCTCATAGAGTTTCCAAGGAGCACCTGGTGGATTCAAACTGCTGACCTTTTGGTCAGCAGCCGTAGCTCTTAACCACTGTGCCACCAGGGTTTCCGCAAAATCAGATGTTGTAAATCCATGAGTAAAGATGGATCAGTCAGTAGTGTTGGGACAAGGGCCTGCCATTCGGGACACCATAGAGCTGTTTCCCACGTAGACCTCACACTGACAGCAACCTCGATGGCCTGGAAGAGGTCCCTCAGTCTAGGGCTGGTGACTCAGATGCATCCACGTTGTGAGCATTGGTTAAGCTGCACTTATGACTTGGACACTTTTATGTATGTCGTGTTTCATTAGAAAACAAAAACGAGCCACAGAAGGACTGGAAGAAAAGATAGATGTAGATTTTCGTAATCCTGATCACAGAACCCAGAAATTATAAAGGAGAAGATGGATAAATCTGGGTCTCTATAAAGTTAACCTGGGTGGTACAAATGGTTAAGCACTCAGCTGCTGACAGACAGGTTAGAGGTTTGAGTCCACCCGGAGACATCTCAGAAGAAAGGCCTAGAGATCTACTTCTGAAAAATCAGCCATTGAAAACCCTGTGGAGCACAGTTCTACTCTGGCATACACGGGGTCGCCGTGAGTCAGAAACAACTTGAAGACAGCTGGTAACGACAAACATATAAATGAAAAATTGGAAGGAATATTTGCAATATGTCAGAAAAAAAATGCTTAAAATCCTTTATATATATGAAGTCCTCTTACAAATCAGCGTTTAGGGACCAAATTGAAAAATGGGCCAAGGACCAGAATGGGCAAGCTAGAAAAGATAAAATGCCCAATTAAAATATGAAAAGAACATTCAGTATCATCCCTAATCAAAGAAATGCTAATTACAATAACAAAGAGATGTCATTTGTTGCCAATGACTTTGGCCAAGATGAAAAAGACGAACAAAACCAGTTGGCAAACACGTAAAGCAAAAGGACTTTTACGCATTGGTACAACCTTCCCAAAGAGAATTTTAGCACAATGTAGCATATCAAAATGTAAAATAAGCAAACCCTTTGATCTACCAACCCAATTTCTAGGAATTTATCCTAAGGAGATAATTGCATAGTTGAATAAAAATGTAAGCGCCGGGATGTTCATTACTGTTGCTTATAATGGAAAAACATCTGAGATAGTCTAGATGTTCACCAATAGGGAGCTGATTAGGTAATTGAGAACTAACGTTTGGATATATATAAATGGAATATCTTTCAGCATTAAAAAGAACTTGTGTTTCATACTTATTTACATGAAAAAAGGTCTGCAAAATATTGAGTGCAAAAAGCAGGTTACAAAAATACATGAACTACGATCATAGTTGGGTAAAAATATATAAACATTTTTATATACATGTTCATGGACAGATATATTGAAACAGTTTCAAAAAATATTTATATTCGTTTATCTCTTATTAGTGAGAAAATGAGCCCTCGTTGCACAGTGGTTAGCACTTGGCTGCTAACCAAAATGTTGGCAGTTCAAACCTACCAGCTGCTTTGAGGGAGAAAGATGTGGCCGTCTGCTTCCGTAAAGACTTACAGCCTTGGAGACCCTGTGGGACAGTTCTACTCTGTCCTATAGGGTCGCTATGAATTGACTCGACCGCAACAGGTTAGGTTTGCTCTGGCAGTAGTGAGATATTGATGTTTTTTAACCCTGCTATAATTTTTTGTGTTTTCAATGTGGAAGAAAAAAGATCACGTATGGTCAAAATTGCCTTTGAAAATCTCTTAACTCACCCAGAAGCCAATAACCACAAACACCTTTATGAGCCACGCTTCGCGTACAGTTTCTCAATAAGTCCATCTCTTAGAGGAAGTTACTCATGGAAATACTGAGTGGGTGTACTTTTCATTCCCATCAACTCGTGGAGTTCTCTGCCATCTCACGCGTTGTTTCACTAGGCTCCCCCGCTTTCGGAGAAGGGCAGGCATTTGACAGAATAACAGAACCGTTGCTCAGCGCCACCCTTAAACTAGGGGGGTTTGAGACCCTTGAGAGATAGGGACGTCTTATCTATGGTGGTTTCTTTCTTCTGTAGCTTTATACTAAACAGAAAGGTTCCCAGGATTTCTGAGATTTCCCTTCACTTGGCAATGTGAAATTATTGTTGTTAGTCGACATCAAGTCAGCCGAACTCATGGCAACCTGGGGCACAACAGAATGACACGCTGCCCAGTCCTGCCGCATCCCAAGACTGGACCATCATAATCCATAGCGTTTCTGTTGGCTGGTTTTTCGAAGTAGATTGCCAGGCGTTTCTTCCTAGTCTATCTTAGACTGGAAGCTCCACTGAAACCTGTCCAGCATCACAGCAACATGCAAGCCTCCGCTGACAGGTGGTGGCTTGGCATGAGGTACACGGGTGGGGAATCGTCTCCAGCATTAAAGGCAAGAATGCTACCCCTGAACCACCCCTGTCCCTGAATTATAAAGCTGCTGGTAGCAAAATCCCTCTGTTACATTGTGGCAAATGCACTTTAAAATCTGCTCAGCCTGTACCTCCGGCTCCTCTCTCTCTGAAAACTGCACCACGCCCCCCCCAGCCCAGCCGCATTTGTACATGACCCTGAGTGTTGGCCACAGCTGATGGAGCTCAAGCATGGAAAATGGCCAGACCTGGGCGAATCAGATCCTTTTCTAGAGATTCAGAGAGCTGCTCAGTGTCTTCTGGGCGTTGGACCTGAGGGTATGCTTGGGATTTGAGGCTGCCATGCACACAGGCAAGCAGGGTACTGGCCCTCAAGGAGAGGGGAGTGGGGTCCACATGCTCACACAGGCGGAGGTGAGTGGCCTTAGCCCCAGGCAGACACGGGATGACCGGGCCTGGGTCCCTGGCAGCCTCCCCTTCCTGCTCTCCCCCTCCAGGCCCCAGCCACATTCCTGCCCCTGCCCGCAGCCAGCTCAGGTGGTTTCTGTTTCCATGGCCAAAGAGGATGACCAGGGTGCAGGCAGCAAACCATCCGGCCTGCTGAAGGACCACGGCGCTGCAGGTCACCTCCATCTCCCTCCTAGACAAGGCTTTGCGCACAGTCCCAGGTCATCCTGGATTTTAACCCACCTGTGCTGGGTTTATCCTGCCCAATGCCTCCTCTCTGAGCCTCAGCCAACCTCCCTGCACTTCCTGGACGGCGTCACAGCTGGAGGCCACCATCACCCAGCTGCTCAAGCTCCCCGCATCCCCCATGTCTTTTGCATCCTCCCCCAACAATGCCCAGCTTGAAGCTAAGAAAACTCAGCACGCAGTGCAGTACATGCCACTGGCAGAATGGAAGTCTAGAAGCCTGTGGCATCAGTCTAGCCCCTCTACCTGCCCAAATTCACCAGTGGGAAAATGTCATGTCAAGAAAACTTATTAAGTCAGCAGAATCCTTGGGGAGAGACTTAACCTGGAGAGACCCTCCACTGGGGAGGGGGAGACTACTGCCATCAAGTCCATTCCGACTCATGGCAACCCCATGTGTTACAGAGTAGAACTGCTCCCTAGAGTTTTCTTGGCTGCAATCTTTACAGAAGCAGATTGCCAGGCCTTTCTTCTGTGGTGTGGGTGGGCGCAAACTGCCAACCTTCAGTTAGTAGTTGAGTGCAAACCGGTTGCACCACCCAGGGACCTTTTCTGCAGAGACCCAGGGCCCCTCTGTCCCCGCCTCCCTTAGTCTCAGCCCCCAGCAGACTGAGCTGTACCTGAGAGATAAATGGCGCCACTATCGCCCCAATGCGACACAGGGAGCTGCTGGTTCCCATCCCCAAGGCACGCATGGTGGTGGGGTAGACCTGGGGGCGGGGGGACAGAAGCAGAGGGAGCACCAGTTAGCGAGTTTGCACCTCTTCTTTCTGGAGTTCTCCTCCTCCCTTTGCTCCTGGGTCAGGCTTTGGAGGGAAAGGTAAGCTCTTGAATCAGACGGAAGAGTTCCACTTTAGAGCTATAAATATTACAGAGCTGCATGAAGGTGGTTCGACCCAACGGAAAGAAAACATTCCCTCCAAAAATAACAATCCCATGAAAACTTTAACACTGATAGAGTGACAAGAATTGACTAGAGTGCCAAGGAACATTGCTACATTCTACCCCGCTCCCACCTTCTCTTCGATTCACTCCGCTCTTTACCCTTGCGGTAACTTATGGCATATTCTACTTTCTTGCTGCCACGCTTTTTCATTTACAGTAAAACCTCACTAATCTGTACATTACTGCTTAAGAGGTACTGTGTGTGTCTTTTCAGAGTGATGAAAACGTTTTGAAAATAGATAGTGGGAATGGTTGAGCAACATGGTAAATGCAATTAATACCAATGAACTTGTCCACTTAAAATTGGCTACAATGACATATTTTGTTATATATCTTTTACTACAATAAAGATAAATGACAACAATTTATCCTTAAAATGTGACAGAAACCAAAATATCCCCTGAAGTCTTCTTAAAACCAGACAACAGTTCAGCCTAACTAGTAAGAATGTCTGCCTTGAGCATTGTGCTCTTTCAAGATCCATCTAATGGGATCAAATTGACAAGAGCAGCTGAAAAGATTAGTTAGAAAATTTAGAGGGCAGTGAGTTACTGTTAATGGGGGAGGAACAACCCAGAGAAGGAGGGTGAGAATGGTTGTACAGCTCAAAGAATGTAATCAATTTCACTGAATTGTACATGGAGAAACTGCCGAATTATATGTTTTGCTGTGTATATTCTCAACAACAACAACAAAATAAATAAAATTTTTTTAAAAAGTCATCAGAAGCCAGGTTTTATGGATTGAATTATGTCCCCCAAAAATATGTGTTGTAAATCCTAACCTCTATGCCTGTGCTTATGATCCCATTTGGGAATGGGTTTTCTTTGTTATGTTAATGAGGCAGGATTGGTGTAGGTTGTCGTTTGAGTCAATCTCTTTTGAGATATAAAAGAGATTAAATGAAAGGTAGCAAGCAGAGATGGGGGAAGAGAGAGGCCAAGCCACATGAAGATTGCCCAGGAGCAGAAACTCAAAGAGACAAAGACCTTCCCCCAGAGCCGACAGAGAGAGAAAGACGTCCCTAGAGCTGGCACTGTGAATTTGGACTTGTAGCCTCTGAAACTGTGAGAGAATAAACTTCTGTTTGTTAAAGCCACCCATTTGTGGTATTTCTGTTATGGCAGCACTAGATGACCAAGACACCAGGGATCTGTTATTTATGGAGAGACCCCCTCTCTAAGGATGGACAGGAGTGGACAGACACCCTCTCTGAGTCACCCACTTTGCACGCCCTGCTAGAACAAACCGCTCCACAGAAACTGACCTCGGCAGTGTAAAGGTAGATGGTGTTGAAGTTGGCGGCCACCAGAGCCCTCAGCATGAAGAGGAAGCCAATCAGGCCGGCGCTAGGGAACAGGAGGGAAGTCGTGTGAGGCAGCACAGAGTACGCCATGTGGCCCCGTCCCAGTGCATTACAGATGCCAGAACACACCTCAGAGAACTCAGATTCCAGGGGAGCACTGCTCCTCCACTGGCCTGATGGTGTGGTCCCAAAGCAAACGCCTGACCCCAACCTTCCTCCAACCCTCCTCCCTGTCCTCTCCACTCCCCCAAGTGTGCCGTCCCACCCCCAAAAGATGGTACTTACAATTTGCAGAGTAAATAATATATATTACATAGTGGAGGCCACTCTGTTGTTGTTGTTAGGTGCTGTCGAGTCGATTCCGACTCATAGCGACCCCATGTACGACAGAATGAAACACTGCCCAGTCCTGCACCATCCTCACACTGAGCCCATTGTTGCAGCCACTGTGTCAACACATCTCACCAAAGGTCTTTCTCTCCTTGGCTGACCCTCTACCCTACCAAGCATGATGTCCTTCTCCAGGAACTGATCCCTCCTGATACACATGTCCAAAGTATGTGAGACATAGTCTCACCATCCTTGCCTCTAAGGAGCATTCTGGTTGTACTTCTTCTAAGACAGATTTGTTCATTCTTTTGGCAGTCCATGGTATATTTAATATTCTTCGCCAACACCACAATTCAAAGGCATCAATTCTTCTTCGGTCTTCCTTATTCATCATCCAGCTTTCACATGCATATGAGATGATTGAAAACACCATGGCTTGCGCCAGGTGCATCTTAGTCTTCAAGGTGACATCTTTGCTTTTCAACACTTAAAAGAGGTCTTCTGCAGCAGATTTGCCCAATGCAATGCATTGTTTGATTTTTTGACTGCTGCTCCCATGGGTGTTGATTGTGGATCCAAGTAAAATGAAATCCTTGACAACTTCAATCTTTTTTCCGTTTACCAAGATGTTGCTTATTGGTCCACTTGTGAGGATTTTTGTTTCCTTTATGTTGAGGTGTAATCCATCCTGAAGGCTGTGGTCTATGATCTTCATCAGTAAGTGCTTCAAGTTCTCCTCACTTTCAGCAAGCAAGGTTGGATCTTCTGCATAAAGCAGGTTGTTAATGAGTCTTCACCCAATCCTGATGCCCCATTCTTCTTCATATAGTCCAGCTTCTCAGATTATTTGCTCAACATACAGCTTGAATAGGTATGGTGGAAGGATACAACCCTGACACACACCTTTCCTGACTTTAAACCGTGCAGCATCCCCTTGTCTGTTCGAACGACTGCCTCTTGATCTGTGTACAGGTTCCTCATGAGCACAATTAAGTGTTTTGGAATTCCTATTCTTTGCAATTTTATCTATAACTTGTTATGATCCACTGAGTCAAATGCCTTTGCATAGTCAATAAAACACAGGTAAACATCTTTCTGGTATTCTCTGCTTTCAGCCAGGATCCATCTGACATTAGCAATGATATCCCTGGTTCCACATCCTCTTCTGAATCCAGCTTGAATTTCTGGCAGTTCCCTGTCGATGTACTACTGCAACAGCTTTTGAATGATCTTCAGCAAAATTTTACTTGTGTGTGATATTAATGATATTGTTCGATAATTTCCGCATTAGGTTAGATCACCTTTCTTGGGAATAGGCATAAATGCAGATTTCTCCCAATCAGTTGGCCAGGTAGCTGTCTTCCAAATTTCCTGGCATAGACGAGTGATCACTTCCAGCACTGAATCCATTTGTTGAAACATCTCAATTTGTATTCTGTCAATTCCTAGAGCCTTGTTTTTCACCAATGCCTTCAGCGCAGCTTGGACTTCTTCCTTTAGTACCATCGGTTCTTGATCATACGCTACCTCCTGAAACGGTTGAATGTCGACCCGTTCTTTTTGATATAGTGACTCTGTGTGTTCCTTCCATCTTCTTTTAATGCTTTCTGTGTGGTTCAATATTTTCCCTGTAGAATTCTTCATTATTACAACTCGAGGCTTGAATTTTTTCTTCAGTTGTTTCAGCTTGAGAAATGCCAAGCGTGTTCTTCCCTTTTGGTTTTCTATCTCCAGGTCTTTGCACATGTCACTATGATACTTTACTTGGTCTTCTCAAGCTGCCCTTTGAAATCTTCTGTTCACCTCGTTTACTTCATCATTTCTTCCTTTTGCTTTAGCTACTCGACATTCAAGAGCATGTTTCAGAGTCTCTTCTGCATCCATTTTGGTCTTTTCTTTCTTCCCTGTCTTTTTAATGATCTCTTACTTTCTTCATGTACGATGTCCTTGATGTCATTCCACAACTCGTCAGGTCTTCGGTCATTAGTATTCAACACATCAAATCTATTCTTGAGATGGTCTCCAAATTCAGTGGGATGTACTCAACTTCATACTTTGGCTGTCATGGACTTGTTCTCATTTTCTTCAGTTTCAACTTGAACTTGCATCTGAGCAATTGATGGTCTGTTCCACCATTGGTCCCTGGCCTTATTCTGACTGATGATGTTGAGCTTTTCCATCATCTCTTTCCACAGATGTAGTTGATTTCATTCCTGTGTATTCCATCTGGCAAAGTCCACATGTATAGTCACCATTTATGTTGGTGAAAAATGTATTTGCAATGAAGACGTTGGTCTTGCAAAATTCCATTATGCGAACTCCAGCATCGTTCCTATCACCAAGGTCATATTTTCCAACTATTGATCCTTCTTCTTTGTTTCCAGTTTTCACATTCCAATTACCAGTAATTATCAGTGTATCTTGATTGCATGTTCAATCAATTTCAGACTGCAAAAGTTGGTAAAAATCTTCAAGTTCTTCATTTTGGGCCTTAGTGGTTGGTGCATAAATTTGAATAATAGTCGTATTGACTGGTCTTCCTTGTAGGAGTATGGATATTATCCTATCACTGACAGCATTGTACTTCAGGATAGATCTTGAAACGTTCTTTTTGATGATAAATGCAACAGCATTTCTCTTCAATCTGTCATTCCCGACATAGTAGATCATATGATTGTCCAATTCAAAATGGCCAGTACCAGTCCATTTCAGCTCACTTAATGCCTAGGATATCGATGTTTATGTGTTTCATTTCATTTTTGACGATTTCCAATTTTCCGAGATTCATACTTTGTACATTCTATGTCCCGATTATTAGTGGATGTTTGCAGCTGTTTCTGGTCATTTTGAGTTATGTTGCATTAGCAAGTGAAGGTCCCAAAAGCTCATCTCCACCCACATCATTAAGGTCGACGCTACTTTGAGGAGGCAGCTCTTCCCCAGTCATCTTTTGAGTGCCTTCCAACCTGAGGGGCTCATCTTCTGGCACTGTATCAGACAATGTTCCTCTGCTATTCATAAGGTTTTCACCGGCTAATTCTTTTCAGCAGTAGATTTCTGGGTCCTTCTTCCCAGTCTGTCTTAGTCGGAAACCTGTCCGCCATGGGTGACCCTCCTGGTGTTTGAATACCGTTGGCATATCTTCCAGCATCACAGCAACACGCAAGCCCCCACAGTAAGACAAACTGACAGACACATGGGGGAGGGCACTCTAGGGTTGCAAAGCAAGTGAAATGAATTTTAACACTGCAGGTACCTTATATCATTAAACACCCTTGCATTGGTCCACATAATTTGGTCAACAACCAGAGTCCCGATTCTCCAGGAAGCTGTACCTGAAAACCCTACATGTTTTGGTGGTGGAGTGAGTCCACTTACACCTGCACCCCATCCTGTGATAGCTGCGGAGGGGCGAGGCCGTGGGAAGAGGGAGTGGGACCAGGGCCAGGCAAGATGGCTCTGGTACACACAGTAACCCTGTTCTCTACTGTCCCTGGTGGGAGGGACGCGCCGCAGCCCCTTCTGAACACCAGGGGTCAGGACACCACACTGGAAACCATGGCACAGAGCTCAGTTGTTGTGCAGACCCCAGAGAGAAATACCTTGAAGTGCAGATATTGAGGAGCAGAAAGAATAAGGCAGTGCACCCCATGGTGATGGAAAGGCTCAGCCGTCTTCCCAGGAAATTGATGCCCAGGATATTTAAAGGATTCACTAGAAAGCAAACAACACAACAATCTCAGTACCCTGAAAAGCAAGAAGCATTGATCAACCCTGCGTGGGCCCATCCTAGTCATTTCGGAAAGAAGCAACTTCATCCCAACACCAGGAGTGTTGCGGCCAGAATTCAGTCACATTTCCATCACCTTGAAGCCTCCTTCAAGGCAGTTTTCATACGCGGGTGGAAGGATGACAAGCACCGGTGTGTGTACAGGGTTCTGTGCGCCCACTTGGCTGATTCTATCATGCTTTACCAGTTTCCACTGAGTCTCTTCTGGTTCGTGGTGACCCCATGTGTATCAGAGTAGAGCTGTGCTCCATAGGGTTTTCAATGGCTGATTTTTCAGGAATAGATTGCCAGACCTTTCTTCCGAGGTGTCTCTGGGTAGACTTGAACCTCCAACCTTTCGTGTTAGCAGCTGAGTGCTTAACCATGGGCATCACCCAGTGACTCTATTATATCATGTGGGTCGATTGTAAATTGCCAACTGGATAGACCTACAATTTAAATGATTAAATGTTCTTAATCAAATTCAAGGTCCTGCTGGGGTTTTTTTCTTTAAATAGTATTTTATTTTGCTTTCAGTGAAGTTCAGGTGCTGCTGATTTTTAAGTACAATTTAAAAAATTTTTTTTTATTGTACTTTAGGTGAAGGTTTACAGAACAAATAGTTTCTCATTAAACAGTCAGTACACATATTGTTTTATGACATTGGTTAACACCCCCACGACATGTCAACACTCTCCCTTCTCAACCTTGGGTTCCCTGTTACCAGCTCTCCTGTCCCCTCCTGCCTTCTAGTCCTTGCCCCTGAGATGGTGTGCCTCTTTAGTCGCATTTTGTTTTATGGGCCTGTCTAATCTTTGGCTGAATGGTGAACCTTGGGAGGGACTTCATTACTGAGCTTAAAGGGTGTCTGGGGGCCATACCCTCAGGGTTTCTCCAGTCTCTGTCAGGCCAGTGAGTCTGGTCTTTTTTTGTGAGTTAGAATTTTGTTCTACATTTTTCTCCATCTGTGCTGGGACCCTCTATTGTGATCCCTGTCAGAGCCGTCAGTGGTGGTAGCTGGGCACCATCTAGTTGTGCTGGACTCAGTCTGGTGGAGGCCGTGGTAGTTGTGGTCCATTAGTCCTTTGGACTAATCTTTCCCTTGTATCTTGTTTTCTTTTTTAAGTACAATTTTTGTGTCTTGAAGTCCCTGGGTGATATACACAGTTAAGTGCTTGCCTGCCAACTGAAAGGTTTGAAGTTCAAGTCCACTCAGAGACACCTCGGAAGAAAGGCCTGGCGATCTACTTCTGAAAAATCAGCCCTTGAAAACTCTATGAAGCACAGTTCTACTCTGACCAATGTAGGGTCACCAGCAGTCAGAATCAACTCCATAGCAACCAGTTTATTACATATCTACTAAAACAGAAATAATGCTGCCAGCTGAAGTCTAACAAACTATCATGAGACACATACCAATTTCAGAGATGTTAAAATATGGAAAAAAAAATGCATGTGAGAATTGGTAAAATATAGTAATTCAAAGCTTCACTCTCCAGACTCCCCTGCCCCACACCAATCCCCACTGGAAACAAGTCACCATGATTTGCGGACCTAGTCCTACTAGGCGGGAGCCGTGTCCATGGCAGGGTCATCCCTCTGTCCCCTGAGACTCTGATTACACCCACGCTACCCGAAACCACGGCCCCGCGCCCAGGGAGATGCTTACGGACGATCTCGCCGAGGGTGCTGATGATCATGGTGTGGTAGTCGGAGGGGGCGAACATGTGGCAGTGGCAGGGGCTCTGGCTCTCCTCCGAGTCCCCGACGGTCACTGCCACCTCGGACTCAGACCGCGAACCACACACCAGGTCCCGCTCCAGCAGCTCGGCGCTGGCCAGGATGACCCCATAGTAGGCCAAAGAGATTCCCAGCCTGGAAACAAGAGAGGAGTGTCGTTGGCAAGAGCTGACGCCAAGCCTGAAGGATGGTGCATTCGTCTCCTAGGGCTGTTGTGCAAAGCACTACAATTTGGGGGACTCATAGGGGCCAACATGTATTCTCTGGCAGTTTGGGGGGCCAGGAGTCTGAAATCAGGGTGTCTGCAGGGCCCTGCTCCCTCTGAAGGCTCTAGGGGAGGATCCTTTCTGGTCTCTCCCAGCTTCTGGGAGCCTCAAGTGTTCCTTGGATAAGGGAACCCTGGAGGTACAATAACAGCCCTCGTGGCCCAGTGGTTAAAGCGCTCCGCTGCTAACTGAAAGATCGGTGGTTCAAACCCATAAGCCACTCCTCAGGAGAAAGATGTGGCAATCTGCTTCTGCAAAGATTATAGCCTTGGAAACCCTATGGGACAGTTCTCCTCTGTCCTGTAGGGTTGTTATGAGTCGGAATCGACTCAATAGCAACTGGTTTGGTTTGGGGTTTTGGTTTCTTGGCCTGCAGCTGTAAGACCACTCCATCGTCACGTGGCCATTTGCCCTCCGTGTCTCTTCTCCTCTCTTAGAAGGACATCACTCAGATTGGATCAGAACCCACCCTTCTCCAATGTGACCTCAGGTTAACTGATAACATCTTCAAAGACCCTACTTCCAAACAAGGTCACTTTCACAGGTAAGGGGACCCGGGGGACACGATTCAGTCCATCACAGTCGGGTGGCACCATGAGAGGCAGGGATGTGCGGAGAGCTGCCAAGTGGAATGCACAGAGTAGAGGGAGGGGAAGAGAGAGCGGAGGACAGAGTCCGCGGGAGGGGACAGCTTTGCAAGAGCAGGCGGGACCAGATGGTGGAAGGCCAGCACACCGGGCTGGGGAGGCAGAATTCTGGTTCTTTACTACGCCTGCAGTAACAGATCACTACAAACTGGGCGTCTTAAAACAACACACACTTATTAGCTCAGCTCTGCAGGTCAGAGGTCCATGACCTCAGCTGATTTTTCTGCTCCGAGTCTCACACGGTTGAAGCCAGGGTGTAAGCAGGGCTGGTTCCTCTCTGGGGGAGAATCGATTCCAGGCTCATTTGGGTTGTTGGCAGAATTCCATTCTCTGTAGCTGTGGGACGGGTCCCCATGTCCTTGCTGGCTGTCAACAAGAGGTGGCCTGCATTCCTTGGCTCCTGGCCCCTTCATCTTCAAAGATAGCAACCGTGGGCCGAGTCCTCCTCATGCTTTGAACCCTTCTGACTTCCCTTCTGCTTCATCTCTTGCTTTCTTTTCTGCAGTGTCTCTCGGTTTCCAGCCAGAGCCATTCCTCTGCTTTTCTTTTTTCTAATCCTCAGGTGATTAGACTGGGGCCCACCCCCCATAATCCAGCATAATCTCCCTATTTCAAGGTCCCTTCACAGCAGTACCTGGATTAGTGTTTGCATGAATAACCCAGGGCAGGAATCTGGGGGGACATCTTTAGACTTCTGCCCACCACAAAGTGTCTTCAGCAGGCCATGAGAGCCGCTGAGGGTTTCTGCTTTTGCTTTATATTTTCTTCTTGTCTTTTTCCTGGTCTGTTATTTAGAAATATTTTTATTGAGAAAGAAGAGTTTCCAGACTAAGACAGACTAGAAAGAAAGGCCTGGCAATCTACTTCCGAAAATTAGCCAGTGAAAACCCTATGGATCACCACGGCCCTATCTGAAACCCATCCTGGGGATGACGCAGGACCAGGCAGCGTTTTGTTTCATTCTGCATGAGGTCGCCGTGAGTCAGGGGCCAACTTGATGGTAGCTAATAACAACCCATTGTCCCTTTGCCATAGAGTCGATTCTGACTCATGGCGACCCCATGTGTTACAGAGTAGGACGGCTCTCCACTGGGTTCTCAATGGTGGATGTCTTGGAAGCAGATGGCCAGGCCTTTATAGAAATTCGTATGGCTTTTCTAGTTTGCTCAACAGAAAGCTTAGTCTGAAACAGCCAGGTCAGATATTTCTGGAAGCAGAACTCTGATCGGAGGTTTTTGAATCACTGATCAGCTTTGGTAGAGTCAGGGGAGGTGGCCGCCAGGGCAGAGTTTGGAGGCTGCCGCAGCAAAGTCAGAAACTCCCACAGCAAACAGACGGAGAGCAGGCATCTCAAAGGCTGCAGAGAAATGAGGCCAGAGAGGACCGCAGGGGCTGTCTCGTTGGAGCTGAATCTGCTGACTTCCAAAGGCTCCTTTCTGGCATGTGGTGAGGAAGAAGACCAGGCTGTGAAGGCTTCAAAGTGAGCACATAGCACGTGAGAAAAATTAAAAACTGGTGTGGACACCTAGGCTTTGCTCGCTCGCTCGCTCTCTTTTTTTTTTTTTCTTTGTAGTTGGTGGAATGTTATGGATAGAATTGTGTCCCCCCAAAATATGTGTTGTAAATCCTAACACGCATATGATTATGAGCCCTGGCGGCGAAGTGGTTAGGCACACTTGGCTGCTAACCAGAAGGTCAGCTGTTGGAAACTACCCGCTGCTCCTCGGGAAAAGACGTGGCAGTCTGCTTCCGTAAAGGTTTACAGGCTCGGAAACCCAACGGGGCGGTTCTTCTCTGTCCTATAGGGTCGCTATGAGTTGGAATCAACTCGACGGCAATGGGTTCGGTTTGGGGTTTATACTTGTGGTTATAATCCCATTTGGGAATGGTTGACTTTGTTATTTAATGAATCAGTATTAGTGTAAAGTGTGTCTTGAGTCAATCTGTTTTGAGATATAAAAGAAGCAGATTAAGCAAGGGAGCAGAGATGAGCGAAGTTAGACGCCATGCCACATGAAGATCATCAAGGAGCCAAGGAAGAGAAGCTGAAGAGACAAGGACCTTCCCCGAGAGTGGACAGAGAGAAAGCCTTCCCCTACAGCCGGTGCCCTGAATTGGGACTTCTTGCCTCCCAAACTGTGAGAAAATAAATGTCTGTTCATTAAAGTCACCCACTTGTGGTATTTTTGTTACAGCAGCACTAGAGAAGTAAGACAGTGGTGTTAGCAGACGCGTAAGACACTTCCGGAGGTAACCTCTGGAGATGGCTTCATGTTTTTCTCCCTAGTAACACTCAGAGTGGATTTACTTAAGGAGGTTTTCTCCAAGTGCCTGTTTCCTTAAAAATAGTTTGGAAATAATTCCAATCTCACCATATGACCCAGATCTGCAGGGTGGTCCGCAAATATCTGGCATTCAGTAGGTCTGCAAATCTTCCTCTTTTGTCCTGGGGTAATGAAAAGGGATGGCAGAATTCCTTTAGTGGGTGAAGGATGAGCTAAGGTATCCCCAATATTTTAAATCATGTTGTCGCTGTTGTGTGCCTTTGAGTTGATTTCAACTCTTAGCGACCCTATAGGACAGAGTAGAACTGCCCCATAGAGTTTCCAAGGCTATAATCTTTCTGGGAGCAGATCACTAGGTCTTTTCTCCCACAGAGCCGATGGTGAGTTTGAGCAGCCGACCTTTTGGGTTAGCAGCCAAGTGCTTAACTGCGCCACTAGGGCCCCTTCTTTAGATCCTACCACGGGGTGAGATAACCTCTCAGCTCCCCTGAGAACAAGTCACCCAAATCCATAGATGTTTGTTTTTTACATATTCACGTCGACCGATCAGTCTTGCGCAATTATAATCATCATTGGCAAGTACCCAAACTCACCGGGCTCAGGATTTTAATCCTTTTGCTCTTCCTCTTTACACCAGGGCCGGCAGGGGTTGGGGGAGGCGTGGGAAAAAGATGGAGGGGGCACATGAAAACTAGCTAATGGGGAATGGTAGCCCTTAATATGGATGGGAGATCATTTTAACATAAATATTAAAAAGAAAAACCCTATATTAAAAAAAAAAAAGTAGGAGGCGTGTGTAAGACAGGAGAATGGCATACATTTGTAAAGGGATAGAACGCCCCATTTTTATTTGTATCGCAAAGGGAGTAGTTAGCAAAAGTTTTTATCCACAGTAGGTGTCTAATGAACATTTCGGAGTAAAAATAAATAAGGATGGGTTCCTTGTGATTGAGCAGTAATGGGTTTTTCTGTGAAGTTGGGAATGCTTTGAGGGTTACAGGTGGAAGCTAGAGAGACTCCTGAGTTTGGCCCTGGGTATCCTGGAGTTTGTTGCCACAGAAGGTTGGAGCTTGAAGGGACCTAGAGGCCTTTTGCTCCGGTGGCTTTGGGACTCAACACCTCGACGTCACTGTGGGTGAGGTGGAACCACAGACACTTCACCCTCTTCTGTTCTATATCTCGGGGCTACGGTTCCTCCTCGCTGGGAGCCCTCGGATCGAGTCCTAGCTCCTCATTTTCCAACACACAATATGTGGCCCAGAGACGGTAAGTGGCTTGCAGAAGATCACAGAGCCAGTAGGAGCCAGAACCAGCCTGGAGCCCAGTCCTCCAGAGCACTGGTCCTAAGTCTGGCCCATCCAGCTCTCAGTCAAGTTCCCTTGGGTTTAGACGCGACTGTGGTCCCCAAGTCACATGGGGGTTCAGAAAGCTGAGTGTACAGTGAATCACAGAGAAACATATATTTTATCCTGGTAAGTCGGTTGGTGCTAGACCATTGGCTATGCTCCAAGTGGGTGGACCCCCCCACCTCCTCTGTGGTGTGGCCGACCCCAGCCGGTCCCCAAAGTCTTTCATCTCCACGGCCTCACTGCCAGGCATCCAGTCCAGCCTCGCCCAGGCCGGCTGACGCCCCAGTCTGGCCAGTCCCTCACGCTTCCCTCCGGGCCTCCTTAGCGTCATTCTCCTGCCTGCAGCACCCTCTCCTTCCACAGGGCTCCCTCCCCTTCAGGGCGCCATTCCCATCGCAGATCCCCAGAAGGTGGCGCGGGCCACACTGCTCGGTCATCCTCTCTGCTCTGCTCACACGGGCTCAGCTGCCTGCACCCGCAGCTGGCACCCCACATCTGCACTCGGTACTGTTGTTGTTTCTCTCACACGTGCCTCTCGCCTCTAACCAGACTGTCAGTTCTGGACCCTTTGCTTCAAGTCAATTCTAACGCATGGCGATCCCACGTGCTCCCGGTGTTTCAGAGTAGAACTGTGCTCCATAGGGTTTTCAGTGGCTGTGATCTTATGGAAGTAAATCACCGGGTCTTTCTTCCGTGGCACCACTAGGTGAATTCAAAGCCCCAACCTTACGGTTAGTGGCTGAGTACCAACTGTGCCACCCAGGGACCTAACAGTCTGGAAGGCAGGGTCTACTGCTTGTGGTTGTGTATCCACAGGGCCTTGCTCCATGGGTGATGGTGGGGAAGGATGAGACCATTTTTGGGGTATGATGGACGGAGGCTGGAAGCTGAAGGCTTGAGGAGTGAGCAGAAGGAAGAAGGAGGCAGGAAGAAGAGAGGAAGGAGGGGAGAGAAGGATGGAAGGAGGGGTGGAGAATGTGGAGGGAGGAGGGGAGGAGGAGGGTGGTAGGAGAGGGAGGGGCTGGAAGGTGGGGGAGATGGGACGTGGAGAGAGGAGGCCAGACAGAGGGAGGAGCACGGAGGAGGGAGGAAGATGGAAGAGGGAGGATGCCAGATGGAACATTGTGTGGATGGAGGAGGAAGGGAGGCAGGGAGGAAGAAGGGAGGGGAAGGAGGAGGGAACTCCCTTCTGGACAAGCTCTCCGGCCCTGGAATTACAACTGCTGGGTCCAATTCACAAACAGACACCAAAAATGGGGGAGCTTGGTCCCGTCCCCCATGTTCATACAGCTGTCTATGGTTTTCAGTTAGTTGTCTCTACTAAGTTTTTTTTTTCACTTTGAAACCATGTTTACTTTCTATACTGCCGACCTCAAAATTTCCTAGGCACATAAAGATTTGGCGCCAGTCTTTACAAAGTGTAATAACTTCTTTCATTTAATCACAGTTGCCTAGCAACCAATTAGCCCTCTACCATCTTTTGCCCAATAAGATGTAGCCATCAACATCTTAGTAGGAAGGTTCAAGATTTCTAAGGCTATCTAATAGTAGCTTCTGGAACTCTGAACCCTCAAGAGCTATTTCCAAAATTCAGAAAATAAATTAGAATAATGGAAACATCCTTAATCCCTTGGAAGAAAGTTCAGGTGTCTTGTTCTACAATTAGATTTTGAGAAATGCATAATAATTAGGGACCAACACTCCCTAAAGCAAAGTGAAAACACAGTCGGTAGTGGTGACGATTGCACGACATGGTAAACATAACCAAAGTCGCTTAATTATACACGGAAAAATGGTGACAATGGCAATTGTTTTGTTAGATGTATTTTGCCACAGTAAAAAAAAAAAAAGATTAAATAATATTAAAACTCCACTTCCTCAAAAAGAGAAAAAAAATACAATTAGGAGTATGGAGAAGGTGTGGGATATTTGTTGTTGTTGTTAGGTGCTGTCGAGTTGGTTCTGACTCATAGCAACCCTAGGTACAACAGAACAAAACACTGCCTGGTCCTGCGCCATCCTCACAATAGTTGTTATGTTTGAGCCCATTGTTACAGCCACTGTGTCAATCCATCTCGTTGAGGATCTTCCTGTTTTCCACTGACCCTCTACTTTACCAAGCATGATGTCCTTCTCCAGGGACTGATCCCTCCTGATAACATGTCCAAAGTATGTGAGACGAAGTCTCGCCAACCTCGCTTCTAAGGAGCATTCTGGCTGTACTTCTTCCAAGACAGAAGTGTTTGTTCTTCTGACAGTCCACGGTATATTCAGTATTCTTCGCCAATACCACAATTCAAAGACATCAATTATTCTTCCGTCTTCTTTATTCATTGTCCAACTTTCGCATGCGTATGAGGCAATTGAAAACACCATGGCTTGGGTCAGGCACATCTTAATCCTCAGAGTGGTATCTTTGCTTTTCAGCACTTTAAAGAGGTCTTTTGCAGCAGATTTGCCCAGTGCAAATGTGTCGTTTGTTTTCTTGACTGCTGCTTCCATGGGCATTGATTGTGGATCCAAGTAAAATGAAATCCTTGACAACTTCAGTCCTCATGATTTTTGCATTATCATTGAGCACACATCACCGCACAGGTAACACGCCCAGCAGCAGCCAGGTGCAGTGGGATTGGCAATGGTTTGTCATCTGTGGTGTCCAGGAAACCAATCAGGAATGCCCAGAGCAGCCCCCTGGTACCTGTGTGTGGGACACTGGAGGACTGGACACTTGGACACGACCTGTCCCACATGGGCCACATGCTCCTTCAAAGAGGGAGGTTTCTGTGGAAGGAGGTGGGCAGGGCTGCTGCTGCTTGGGACCTCTGTCCCAGATTCAGAGCAGGAGCGAGGTCAGGAACAGGCGTACGCATGGCCACGTCAACAGAATAGCAGATCAGGTGAAAAAAATAAATAAACATCAACTCTATATTTACAAGCAATGCATTTAAAACAATACAGTACAGAAAGGTTACAAATAAAGGGCTAGAAAAAGATACACCAATACAATCCAAAGCTAGTTTAGATATAGTAACATGAGAGAAAATAGAATTTAAGGTACAAAGCAGTGTAGGAATAAAGAGATACTTCAAATAATAAGACTAATCCATGCCCAAAACAGCTCAGTCATACCTCAGGATGCAACAACAGGCTAGCCTTAAAATATATGAAGTGAACTGTCAGGCCTAGAAGGAGAAATGGACAAAGCCATCACTTTACTGAGAAACTATTATCTCAAGCAGGTAAAATCTAGCGTAAGTATCAAATATTTCTGCAACAGTTAAACATAAACATATATGTATACACACACACAAATGTGTGTATATGTTGTTGCAGAGAAACTCTAACGCTGCTTTAGAACAAAACAGAGGGTTTTAAAAGCAGTCTGGACTGGGAACAACTCGACTCATGAAGATGAAACCACACGTCTGAGTCTCAATAATTACACAAATCTATTTATAGGGTTTAGACAAAGAACAGGGCTTGGACTATTTTGATTGGTGGTTAGTGAGGCAAGGGGACTAAGGATGAGTTGCAGAAGTTAAACACAGAAGTTACAGAGATCCCAAATTATAGTCACAGGACGACATGTCAGAAAACTTCATATTTAATGAGAAGTGTCTCTAAGGAAGGTTAGGCACCAAATTTAGGATGGACACTTGGTGACAAGATTCTTCTTAGCAGGATTACTTGCTTAACCAGAATCAGTTTAAGTTACTTGGGCAATCTGAGATAAGGCTAACTCTAAGGCCCTCTCAGAACACTGTTATCACATCTTTGTCATGAAGACGTATTTTCTGGGCCCACTAGACACAAAATGCACCTATGTCAATATTCTCTTTTCCGAGCTCATTGCTTTTACGTCTCGACCTTGGCCCGGAGAAAACATTCTCCTATGTCTCCATGGTAACTAAACAAAGAGTTTAATGATAGCGTCTGTGAGCACTCTGTGTTGACTCAGTGAATTAAATAAGTCACCCTGGGCAGGCTGGTAAAAAGACAAGTTTAATTCAGCAAAAGCTGGGTTTAATTCAATCATCTAGTCCTGGTCAAAAAAAAAAACCTTATAAACTTCTCCCTTACAGTGTATATATATAGACACACATGTATGTACATTTAATGAGAACACACATTCTTTTTAAGCACGCATGAACCAGAAACAAAAAGTGACCACGTAAGGGACAAAAGGAAACTCTCAATAAATTCCAAAGATTCGATAATATCTTCTAACCAAAATGCAATTGCATTAGAAACAAATAATTTTTAAAAAGACAGTTAAAAGATAACTCATTGTTAAATACAAAATAATAACAGAAACTACGGAATAGAAATAAAAATAAAATTACTCTGTAACAAAACTTTTGAATGCAGCTTAATGGTTTATCAAAAATCAAGAAGACTAAAAATAAAGGAGCTAAGTGCTGAGCTCAAGAAGCTAGAAGAACAAAAAAGACAAAGAACATAGAAGAAAAAAGAGAAGTTAATGAGACAATGAAAAAAATGAATGAAAAATCAATTAAAAAGTTTATTCTTTGAAGACTAATATAATAGTAAGGTGGACCGGAAAAAGAGGGAGAAGGCACAAATAAACAACATTTAAGATGAAAAACAGGACATACTCACACAGTAGAAATTTCTGAAACTCATAAGAGACCGCTCAGAACAATTTTACATCAATAACTTTGAAAACTTAGATGAAGTGGACAATTTTCTTAAAAAATATAGATTACCAAAACTGACTCAATCAAAAGTAGAAAACGTAAGTAGATTATAACCTTTAAATAAATTGAATCAAGATTTTAAAACATCCAACTCGTTAGTTACCGTCAAGTCGATTCTGACTCATGGCAACCCCACGTGTTACAGAGGAAAACTGTTCCATAGGGTTTTCTTGACTGAAATCTTAATGGAGGTAAATTGCCAGGCCTTTCTTCCAAGGTGGCGCTGGGTGGATTTAAACCACCAACCTTTAGGTTAGTCCAAAACCAAAAACCAAACTTATTGCCATCAAATTGATTCTAACTCACAGTAACCCTATAGGACAGAGTAGAACTGCCCCATAGGATTTCCAAGCCTGCAATCATTATGGAAGCAGACTGCCACATCTTTCTCCCTCGAAGCTGCTGCTGAGTTGGAACCACCAACCTTTTGGTTAACAGCCAAGCACTTAACCAGTGCACCACCAGGGCTCCTTTCAAGTTAGTGGTCACTGCAAACCATTTGTGCCACCAGGGACCTTCCGTAAGATTACAGCCGTTGAAAACGCTATGGCCTGCCGTTATACTCTGACACACATACTGACCACAGTACTGGTTTGGTTTTGGGTCGACCTTGCCTTGGAGTCTCTGCTCCTTGCCCTCTGCCTCTGGGGTGGGACGTGAAAGCTCAGGTCCTCTGCCACTGGCTCCCATGACTCCGGGTGGGACCAAGCCAAGCCAAGCCCGTTGCCATGGAGTTGATTCCTTCCCATAGCGACCCCATGTGGCAGAGCAGGTCGGGTGGGACATGACCTGGAAACTTCCCACTCACCATCACACGCTCCACCAGCCTGCCCTCCGGCATGACCGCGCGGTTCATCCTGGCGATGCGCTCCAGCGTGGCCAGGGCTGCCTGGGTGTTCCCGGTGGAGACGTTGAAGCGAGCTGACTCGGGAATAAACTGCACAGATTACAGAGAGCTTCAGGATCCAGGGCCAGAGACCCCAGGGCCTGACGATTACTGCCACACGCACCCGCCAACCACGTTTCCCCAGACGGGAAGGGAATGGAGGAGCTTGAAGGCATAAAACACGCAGGCCTTCTAGAATTCCAAGCTGAACTGGAGCAAACACGGCCGTGTTCTGCTCCTGCCGTCCCCTCTGGATCTGCCAGTCAGGTACTGAGCTTCTCACCTTGTTACAGCTAGGTGGTGATGCCCGCTGCCCCAGACCCCCAGCGTCTGCCACTGCTCTGCCACCAAAGCCCCTCGCCAGGTCCCCAGCCTCCCCACAGTGCCCCAACCCAAACGGTGACAACGGCAGGGGCCCCCGAACCCGTGCTGTGAGGACTTGGTCCTCACTCCATGCTGTTGTCGCTGGGTGCCGTTGAGTCTGTCCCGACTCATAGCCACCCCATGTGACAGAGCAGAACTGCCCCAGAGGGCAGATAGCCAGCTCTTTCTCCCGCAGAGCCACCAGACCACCAGGCTCCTTCCTCACGCCATGACTGTTGCATACTCTGAGCATCACACTCGGAAAGCAGGGTGGGCCTCCCCTGGAGCTGGGAACCTGAGTCTCATCCAGTAGGGACCGTTGGTTTTTCCTCAGAAGAGCATCACCCCCCCCCCCAGCAACACCCCACCCTACTCCTGTCACTGGAGGGCAGGGCAGGTCCCCACCACCTCCTGCTGGGACTGTCCCCATGGCCTTCTAACTGCTTCCCGGTCCTGTTCTGGCCACCGTCCTGCCCAGTCTCCTCCACACAGGCACAGTCACCTCCTTGAACATCCAGCGCCATGGCCTCTAGGCCCTCCAAGGTCTGGCCACTGAACATCCAGTGCCATGGCCTCTGCGCCCTCCAAGGTCTGGCCGCAGGCCCGCCTTCCCAGCCCGCCCCTCCAGCATCCCCTTCGGCCATCCCAGCTCCATCTCCTCCCCAAACGTGTTCTGCGTTTTCACACCTTCACGCTTGGGTCTACCCTGCTGTGGATAGCGGCCCTCGAGTCACCCCCCGACTCATGGTGACTCCGTGCACAACAGAAGGAAACACTGCCTGGGCCATCCCCGGGGCCGGCTGTAGAGCTGGCCATTGTCACCCATAGGGTTTTCGTTGGCTGATTTTCAGAAGTCGATCACCAGGCCTTTCTTCCTAGTCCATCTTAGTCCTGAAGCTCCGCTGAAACCTACTCAGCATCGTAATAGCACACAGACCGCCACTGACAGGTGGGTGGAGGCTGCACATGGGGTCTCCCGCATGGAGGCAAGAATCCTACCACTGAACCACGACTCCCCTCCTGGGTTCACTCCGACCTGTTGCCGTTGAGTCAATTCCAACTCATGGTGACCCTGTAGGACAGAGCAGAACTGCCCATTGTGTTTCCCAGGAGCGGCTGGTGGAGTCAAACTGCTGACCTTTTGGTTAGCAGCCGAGCTCTTAACCACTGTGCTACCAGCACTCTAGCCCTGCCCAAATGCCCTTTCGACCCTCTTCTCACTGCTGTTGAAAGTCCTGCTCACCTGCGCGGCCCAAACCCAGCATCATCACCCCCTGGAGCACACCCCTCTTGCCCTGAGACCCACAGGCTGGGGCTGTGACAGCAATCACTCTGTTCTTTTTGAATCCATATCTAGCTTCCGCTGATCGGCTGGGAGTCCCTTGGTGCATAAACTGTCTTAGGCCTCTTTTTGGCCTTGGAACTTAGTACCAAGCCTGGCACATGCTCAATGCAAGTGTGTGAACTAAAGGAGAAGCTCAAAATCCAAAGTAAAGTAATTTTTTAAAAGCAAATAACATAGCTCAATAGCTAACACATACTGAGCACTTACTATGCTCCACGTGCTACTTGGGGAAAGGAGACCTGGTGGCACAGTGCTTAAGCACTCAGCTCCTAAATGGAAGGTTGGTGGTTCGAACCCACCAGCCGCTCCTTGGGAGAAAGATGTAGCAGTCTGCTTCCATAAAGATTACAGCCATGGAAATGCTGTGGGGCAGTTCTACTCTGTCCTGTGAGTCAGGATCGACTTGACGGCAGCAGGTTTACGAGGCTACTTGGGGCATTTTACATGTTACTGTATCCTCGCCACAGCCCTGGGAAATATGCACTATTCATTCGGCGCTGACTTTCCAGGTGGCAGTGCCAGGCTCTGCTCTGGACAGCTGGCTCCAGAGCCAACATACCACACTGCCCCCTAGAGGCGAGTCCAGGGAAAGCAGGACACCCGGTTAAACCCAAGGGTGGAAGGTGTCAGAAGGTGGAGCCCTACGTGTAGATTTCAGAAAACCCGCGGAGTGCACGATTATAGGCGCCAGGGGTCTTCAGGTGTCTCGGCTTGGAAACAGCTCACGTGGGCAGATCTGAGGGTCGGGGGTACCACTGTGGGTGGAGCCGGGTGGACAACAACGCCGTGTGTGCTCCATCAATGGAGACGGGCGATCTGCTGGCAGGAACAGCGGGCCCTCTGCGCCGCGGTCCCAGCTCGCTTGGGGACTGTAGTCTACTGCCTAGAGGACACGGACCCCCGGCCTCATCCAGAAGAAAACAGACAGGGCTCCAGGCCAGGTGTCAGGAGAGAGAGTGGAAGGTGTATGTGATGGTTAATGTTCTGTGTCAGCTTGGCTGGGCTAAGTGTCTAGCTGTTTGGTTAAACACAGGTCTGGGTGTTGCCGTGAAGGTATTTTGGAGATGGGCTTCACACTTACTATCCGCCGACCTTTAAGGAAAGCAGGTTACCCTCCAATACGTGAGCGGGCCTCATCCAGTCAGGTAACCACCTGAAGAGCAAACCCTGAGGTTTCCCCAAGAAGGAAGGCATTCTGCCTCCATGGCAACATAGAAATCCTGCCAAGTTTCCCACCTGCCAGGCGGCCCTAGAAAACTCAGACTCAAAGTCACCTCTTCCCTGAGTTTCAGCCTGCTGGCCGGCAAGTTTGGACTCTCCAGCCCGCACAATTGCGTGAGTCAATTCCTTAAAACAAATCTCTCCCTCTCTCTCTCCAGAGATAGAGATATATCTCCTATTGCTTGTGTTTCTCTGGAATTGTTTCATTTAGAGAAGGGAAGGCTTGGAGGGGCCTAGATTCTTCAATATTTAAAGGGACCTCGTGGTGAAAAATAGATCTCTGGTTTTCCAGAGAGAAGTACTAGAACGGCAGGTAAAATTACATAGTAATAAATCTCACTCAGTTTAAGAAAGAACATTCTAACAACCACGGCCGCCAGGAGGTGGAATATACGGAAGCTGGGAACGTCCTGGCGGAAACCTGCTACCACAGAGGATGCCAGCCTTTGGATAGACAACCGCTAAGGTGCCCTTGGGTGGGGCAAATGGTTAAACCCTCAACTACTAACCACAGGGTTGGAGGTTTGATTCCAACCAGAGGTATCTTGGAAGAAAGGTCTGGCCATCTGCTTCTACTGTTGAAAACTCTATGGAGCACAGTTCTACTCTGACATACGTGGGGGCGCCATGAGTTAGAATTCACTCAAGGCAACTGTGTTTCTTTTATAATTTCTTTTTTTTTGTGAAGGCCTCTCTGAACTCTAGAATTCTTTGATTCCATGGGATAGGTGACACAGAACTGTGAGCATAATTCTACTAGAACCCAAGCAAGGGATTCTGCCATTGAGAGGCTTGCAGATTCTGGGCAAGCAGAAGGCCACCCAGTAGGGGGCTGAGAGCATGTAAAAGGCCCCAGCCAGTGGGCACTGGAGATCCCAGAGTGGCCAGCACAAACGGGTGGAGCAGTCAGAGAAAACCTCCAGGAATAAACGACATACATGAGGCGGGCTAGAGGAGGCGAGGGAGTGAGGCTGGTTCAGACAGGCTCTCGAATGAAGGGAAGAGGCAGACGTGAGGAGGATGTTTGTGGGCCAAAGGCGGACGAGGCACTGGGACCGCAGGAGCATCCTCACCTTGAAGACCATGATGAGGATGATGCCGGGGATGGAGGCAATGCGGATGAGCCAGCGCCAGCCAAAGGTGGGGATGACCACAGACGACAGGCCAATGATGAGCAGGGAGCCAGCCAGCCAGAACACCTGGGGAGGAACACAGACCAAACCCTATCAAACGTGCCTGGCGGGTCCTCTCTCAAGCACACCCTGCCCACCTTTGAATTTATGGATGTTTTGCTGAGGCACCCTGGACGCAGGAGCGCACGGCGCAGGTTCTACTCCTGGTACAGCTGCCAAGAGCCCCACCTGTCCACCCCACTTGTCCACTCACCTCTCCACCCCTCCTGTCCACCGCATCTCTCCACCCCACCTGTCTACCCCAACCTGTCCACACTACCTGTCCACTCTCACCTGTCTACCCCACCTGTCCACTCACCTGTCCACCCCACCTCTCTACCCACCTCTCCACACCACTTCTTCACCCCATCTCTCCATACCACTTCTTCACCCCGTCTCTCCACCCCACCTCTCACCCCCCTCTCCACACCACTTCTCCACCCACCTCTCCACCCCACCTCTTCACCCACCTCTCACCCCTTCTCCACCCTACCTCTCCACCCCACCTCTACACTCACCTCTCCACCCCACTTCTTCACCCACCTCTCCACCCCACCTCTCCATCCACCTCTCCACCCACCTCTCCACCCACATCTCCACCCCACTTCTCCACCCCACCTCTCCACCCACCTCTCTATCCCATCTCACCACCCACCTCTCCACCAACCTGCCCACCCTGCTTCTCCACCCCACCTCTCTACCCCACCACTCCATGGCTAAACTTGCTTGTCCACAAAGGGGACCCCCAACTGGAGTGATGCCCCCAGAATCAGTGATACCACAGGGGGCTAGAACCTCATTCCGATGCAGTCTACTTTTTTTTTTAATGTTTATTTTCTTGAATAGATAATACATTCACATGGTTTTTTAACTCAAAAGGTATAAAGGACAACACCAAAAGTTCTCTCCCACTCCTAATCCCCTGCCATGCAATTTTACTCGCCGGAAATAACCAATTAACCAATATTACCAGCTTTTTCTGTATACTTCCAAAGCCATTCTAAGCATATACGCACTTATAAGGATACATATACAATCCCTGGGTGATGTAAAAAAATAACACGCTCGGCTGCTAACTGAAAGGTTGGTCTTTGGAGTCTACCCAGAGGTAACTCAGAAGAAAGTCCTGGCAATCTACTTCTGAAAAATCAGCCATTGAAAACCCTATGAAGCATGGTTCTACCATGACCCACAGAGGGTAGCCATGAGTCAGAATCAACTCCAAGGCAACTGGTTGTGTATATATACATACATATATATTCTTCTTCTCTTTTTTCAGAAATTGTATCGTGGTATACATATTGCTCCACACTTTGCTTTTTGTACTAAAATATATATCTTGTGGGTCATTTTATACGTGTGGCCAGGCCCCATGAGTTGGGAAGCAGAACAACTCTGAATGCTCAAGTGAACACTGTTTTGCCCGTCTGAAGATGGCGTGAACAACAGCTCTGTTCCAGCAGACAGAGATGGAGAGAGGACTCTGTGTTAAAAGACCGTTTGGGAAGATTAATCAAGGAATGATTATTTCATCACCAAAGGAGTCTAAACAAAAATATCTAGAAGGTACATTCATTCAACATATAAACAGAAACTAACGGTTGAGCTCCTGCCATATGCCACACTCCGTGAGAGGCACAGAGAACACCACCGCCCAGAGAACTCAGGCCTGCTATCTACAGAGTGTCCAGTGGAGAGGAGTTGTTTCAGGAGGGTGAACTGCTTATTTAAGGAGCCCTGGTGGTGCAGTGGTTAAGCATGCGGCTGCTAACCAAAAGGTCGGCGGTTCGAACCCACCAGCTGATCTGCTGGAGAAAGATGTGGCAATCTGCTTCCCTACAGATTAAACCAGATCAAATCCATTGTCATCAAGTCGATTCCAACTCATAGCGAACCAACAGGACAGAGTAGAACTGCTTCATAGGTTTTCTAAGGCTGTAATCTTTACGGAAGCAGGCTGCCACATCTTTCTCCCACAGAGCCGCTGATGAGTTCGAACTGCCAACCTTTTGGTTAGCAGCCGAGCACTTAACCACCGCGCCACCAGGGATCCTTCTAACTTCTGATGTTGCTTATTGGTCCAGTTCCGAGGATTTTTTTGCTGGGGTGTTATACATACTGAAGGCTGTGATCTTTGATCTTCATCAGTAAGTGCTTCAAGTCCTCTTCACTTTCAGCAAGCAAGGTTGTATCATCCGCATATCAAAGGTTGTTGTTAACGAGTCTTCCTCCAATCCTGATGCCCCATTCTTCTTCATATAGTCCAGCTTCTTGGATTATTTGCTCAGCGTACACTGAATAAGTATGGCGAAAGGATACAACCCTAACCCACACCTTTCCTGATTTTAAACCATGTAGTATCCCCTTGTTCTGTTCGAATGACTGCCTCTTGGTCTATGTACAGGTTCCTCATGAGCACAATTAAGTGTTTTGGAATTCCTATTCTTTGCAATTTTATCTATAACTTGTTATGATCCACTGAGTCAAATGCCTTTGCATAGTCAATAAAACACAGGTAAACATCTTTCTGGTATTCTCTGCTTTCAGCCAAGATCCATCTGACATCAACAATGATATCCATTGTTCTGCATTCCCTTCTGAATACAGCTTGAATTTCTGGCAGTTCCCTGTCGATGTATGGCTGCAAACATTTTTTAATTATCTTCAGCAAAATTTTACTTGAGTGTGATATTAATGATATTGTTTGATATTTTCCACATTCTGTTGGATTACCTTTTTTTGGAATGGGCACAAATATGGATCTCTTCCTGTTGGCTGGCCAGGTAGCTGTCTTCCAAATTTCTTGGTATAGACAAGTGAGCCCTTCCAGCACTGCATCTGTTTGTTGAAACTTGTCAATTTGTATTCTGTCAATTCCCTGAGCCTTGTTTTTCACCAATGCCTTCAGTGCATCTTGGACTTCTTCCTTCAGTACCATCAGTTCTTGATCATATGCTACCTCTCGAAATTGTACAGTGATTCTCTGTACTCTCTCCATCTTCTTTTGATGCTTCCTGTGTTTTTCAGTATTTTGCCCTTAAAACCCCATTGCTGTAGAGTCGATTCCAACTCATACAGACCCTATTCTCTAATATTGCAACTTGAGACTTGAATTTTTTCTTCAGTTCCTTCAGCTTGAGAAATGTCGAGTGTGTTCTTCCCTTTTGGTTTTCTAACTCCAAGTCTTTGCACATTTCTTTATAATACTTTACTTTGTCTTCTCAAGCCGCCCTTTGAAATCTTCCATTCAGTTCTTTTACTTCATCATTTCTTCCGTTTGCTTTAGCTACTTGATGTTCAAGAGTAAGTTTCAGAGTCTCTTCTGACATCCATTTTGGTCTTTTCTTTCTTTCCTCTCTTTTTAATGACATCTTGCTTTCTTCATGTATGATGTCCTTAATGTAATCCCACCACTCATCTGGTCTTCGGTCATTAGTGTTCAAGGCATCAAATCAGTTCTTGAGATGGTCTCTAAATTCAGGTGGGATATAATCAAGGTCCATTTTGGCTCTCATGGACTTGCTCTAATTTTCTTCAGTGTCTACTTGAGCTTGCATAGGAGCTTTTGATGGTCTGTTCCACAGTTGGCCCCTGGTCTTGTTCTGACTGATGATATTAAGTTTCTCCATTGTCTCTTTTCACAGATGCAGTCGATTTGATTCCTGTGTATTCCATCTGGTGAGGTCCATATGTCTAGTCGCCATTTATGTTGTTGAAAAAGATATTTGCAATGAAGAAGTCGTTGGTGTTGCAAAATTCTATCATGCAATCATTTTCCAATTACCAATCCTTCTTCTTTGTTTCCAACTTTCCCATTCCAATCACCTGTAATTATCAATGCATCTTGATTGCATGCACGATCAATTTCAGACTGCAGAAGTTGGTAAAAATCTTCCATTTCTTTTTTGGCATTAGTGGTTCATCCATAAATTTGAATAATAGTCGTATTAACTGATCTTCCTTGTAGGTGTATGGGTATTATCCTATTCACTGACAGTGTTATACTTCAGGATAGATCTTGAAACATTCTTTTCGATGATGAATGTGACGCCATTCCTCTTCAATTTGTCATTCCTTACGTAGTAGACCATATGATTGTGTGATTCAAAATGGCCAATACCAGTCTGTTTCAGCTCATGAATGCCTGAGATATAGATCTTTATGCATTCCATTTCATTTTTGATGACTTCCAGTTTTCCTAGATTCATATATTCCACATTCCGATTATTAATGGATGTTTGTTGCTGTTTCTTCTCATTTTGAGTTGTGCCACATCAGCAAATGAAGGTCCTGAAAGTTTGACTCCATCCACATCATTAACGTCAACTCTACTTTGAGGAGGCAGCTCTTTCCCAGTCTTTTGAGCACCTTCCAACCTGGGGGGCTCATCTTCCAGCACTATATCAGACAACATTATGCTGCTATTCATAAGGTTTTCACTGGCCAATCTTTGTTGGAAGTAGACCCCCAGAACCTTCTTCCTAGTTTGTTTTAGTCTGGAAGCTCTGCTAAAACCTGTCCACCATGAGTGACCCTCCTGGTATTTGAAATACTGGTGGCATAGCTTCCAGCATCACAGCAACATGCAGGCCACCACAGTATGAGAAACTGACAGACACGTGGTGGCTGTAAAGATTACAGCCTTGGAAACCTTATGGGACAGTTCTACTCTGTCCCATAGGGTTTCTATGAGTAGGAATCAACTTGACAGCAATGGGTTTTTGGGTTACTTGCTTGTTTATAGATAATTAACCACAGAGACTAAAAAAAGAAAGAAGGGCAAATAACTTGAGTTGTCCCTCCCTATTGCTAAATATGTCCTAGAAGATAAATTCCACTGAAACCCAACTCCTGCCCTGTACCACACCGTGAGAAGAAATCTACAGGGTTGGCCACCTTAGGAGTGGGCCAATATCATTGGCTTTGAATACAACCAAGGAAGCAGTGAAGCCCAAGAAGAATGCCAAGGTAGGAGGGGCAGGTGGAAGAGAAACTGTCCACTGATGAGCTTGAACAGGATCCCATCCATTAAACAACATCAAGTGTAAAATCCAAGCACTAAGTGTTAAAGTTTTGCATCTGTCTTCACGAAGATCAGAAGAAGAAAACTGAGGGGAATGTAAAAAGTTAACATTAGTGTTTCTTAAAGGATCCCTGGTGGCACAGTGGTTAAGCACTCAGCTACTAACTGAAAGGTCGGTGGTTCGAACTCACCCAGCAGCTTCACGGGAGAAAGAATTGGTGATCTGCTTTTTTCTGACTCATAGCGACCCTATAGGACAGAGCAGAACTTCCTCCTGTGGTTTCTAAGACTGCCACATCTTTCTCCCATGGAATGGCTGGTGGGGTTGAACTGCTGACCTTTTGGTTCACAGCCAAGCCCTTAAATCTCTGCACCACTAGGGCTCCTTCCCTATATAGATTAAATCACCCAAACCCAAACCCTTTGGGGTCAAGTTGATTCTAACTCATAGTGACTCTGTAGGACAGAGTAGAACTGCCCATAGTGTTTCCAAGGTACAAATCTTTATGGAAGGAGAGTACTACATCTTTCTTCCGGGGAGTGGCTTTTAGATTAGCAGCTGAGTGCTTAACCATTGCGCCACCAGGGCTCCTTCCCCATAAAGATTATAGCCTAGAAACCCCTATGGTACCTAATAACAACAACAGTGTTTGCTGGGGTCTTTTAAATTTTGTTTTCCTAGTATGTTGCCTAAGGTCATTGCCAAAAAAATTAAAAATAAATTTAAAAGTATTCTCCTACTGGTTTATATACCGTCAATTGCACAGTGCTTCACTGGGAAGGGTCTTCTCTTCCCTGGACTCTCTGAAAGGCCAGGGCTTTGGATAGTGATGGCATCAAAGATGGTGCAAGGGCACCTGGATTAATGTACCTCATGGGGATGAAGATTCTAATTAAGGACCATCTGGGGACAGAGAAGGGCTTGGGAGCTTCCCAGTCTTCTCACCTGGATAAATGACCTAGCTGGGGGCAGGAAAGAGGAACAACAGTGCTTTTTCAGGCAAGGGCTAGTCATCGACTGGCAGACCCCAGTATCCCTGAAAGGGAGGCCACCAGTACCGTCAAGTCAACGCCGACTCATGGCAACCCCGTGAGTGTCAGAGTAGAACTGTTCTCCGCAGGGTTTTCAATGGTTGATTCTTTTGAAAGCAGATCACCAGGCCTGTCTTCCAGTGCACCTCCGAGTGGATTCAAACCTCCAACCTTTAGGTCTGCAGCCATGTGCGTTAACCATTTGCACCACCCAGGGCCCCCCTGGAAGGGTTAGTATCCTAAAAGGGGTGGTAGCTGTGCCCCTCCCTCCCCTCTTCATCACAATTCAATGAGATTGCTCTGAAGGGAAGAGAGAAGGAGAACCCACTGTTAAAAATAAGATTTCCACAAGATTACATCTGTGTACGAACTCATCAGCTTTATTTGCAATTCATGAACTGGGAAGTGGCCGGACTGGAAGCCAGACAGAAGCTCCGAAGGACAAGCGGAAGAGACAAACGTTATATAGGCAAGGTGGTGTAAGAACAAGGAAGTAACACTGGACAAAAAATGATTGGTTAGTTCTAAGGTACTTTCCTTATATGGCATGTTGGGAACTTTCATAGCCAGGTCATATACCATAGCTGAGGCAGGCAAGCGAGCATTGGTTGACTTAGATTTCCGCATCTGAGAAGGTCAGGCATATACAGGAAATAGAAACTTAGTTAGGTTTCAGTTTGCTGAGATGGGCCTTAGCATAAGTGCCTCCACCTTGGGCCTAGTGAAACCAGGTCAACACCACTTAGGCCCAGGGTTCCTGGGCTTCCCTCAGGGAGTTGACTTCCAGTGAAGCCAGCCATGGACATGTTTCTTGGGTGTAGAAGTTACTCCTGCGTTCTAAACGTCACTGTTGGATGGTAGAAGTCCTGGCCGTACAAACCGTGGACCTAGACCTCTGGCTTCAAGTATTCTCAGTGTTCTTTGGTTGGAACCAAGTACTACGAACGTGTCAACCAAAGAACAATCAACAACTGAGAAGTCACCTGGCTAGCAGAAAAACCATGATGTCATATCCTGTAGGATGCAGAGCACTACAGAGAAGTCCCATTTTACCTTACCTGAGACAAGGGCAGCATATAGCCTCGATACTTTGTGGGCAAAAACTCAGTCTTTATAATTAACCTAAACAGGAGGGGGAAGAAAAACACGAGAATTTTCTTTTTACAAAACCAAATAATGGTTTGTTTTTAACAATCATAATTTTTCACATCATAGGGTTCTAAGCAAGTATATAGAAACCAAAGATTTATATATACATATATTTCATTGTGCTTTAAGTGAAAGTTTACAGTTCAAGTCAGTTTTTCATACAAAAATTTATACACACATTGCTACGTGACCCTAGCTGCTCTCCCTATAATGTGACAGGACACTCCTCCTTTCCACCTTGGATTTCCCGTGTCCATTCAACAAGCTCTGTCCCGTTTTGCCTTCTCATCTCACCTCTGGACAGGAGCTTCCCATTTAGTCCCATGTATCTACTTGAGCAAAGAAGCACACTCTTCACGAGTATCATTTTATGTCCCATAGTCCAGTCTAATCTTTGTCTGAAGAGTTGGCCTCGGGAACGGAGAAACCAAAGATTATTAACGGTTACCGGAGGCAGGAAGGAGAGTACTACATCTTTCTTCCGGGGAGTGGCTTTTAGATTAGTTTTTGTTTGGGGAGCATTGAGTTTATGTTGATGGTGGTGGAATATTTTGGTAAAGAATAGTGATAATGGTGGCACAGCATGAAAAATGTAATCAATGCTATTGAATTGCAAATGTGAAAGTTGTTGTGCTGGCAAATGTTCTGGTGTGTATATTTTCACCACAATAAAAAATAAATCAAAATATAATCGTTACAGCTAATATCCACATACGGGAACAATAAGCAAACCTAACTACTGCTCCTCTGTTTACACTTTCCTTGCCAAATTTGTTTTACACCTTCTACCACGTTAAGAACATTGAAGTTGCCGAGGATTTCGTTTTACTTGGATCCACAATCAATGCCCGTGGAAGAGCAGTCAAGAAAGCAGATGACGCATTGCATTGGGCAAATCTCCTGCAAAAGACCTCTTAAAAGTGTCGAAAAGCCAAGATGTCAACCTGAAGACTAAAGTGTGCCTGACCCAAGACATGGCGTTTTCAATCGCCTCATATGCGTGTGAAAGCTGGACAATGAATAAGGAAGACTGAAGGTTGCTGTGTTTGAATTACAGTGATGGCAAAGAATATTGAATATAGCATGGACTGCCAAAAGAACAAGCAAATCTGTCTTGGAAGAAGTATAGCCAGAGGATGGTGAGATTTGTCTCAGGTACTTTGGACATGTTATCAGGAGGAACCAGTCTCTGGAGAAGGACATCATGCTTGGTAAAGTAGAAAGTCAGTGAAAAAGAGGAAGACCCTCAACAAGATGGATTGACACAGTGGCTGCAACAATGGGCTCAAATGTGACAACAATTGTGAGGATGGTGCAGGACTGGGCAGTGTTTCATTCCCTTTTGCATGGAGTCACCGACTCAATGGCACCTAGCGACAATACCACCAGGTTAAGAGATATCAGCCTATGAAAAACGTTTGCCAACCCTGATTTCCTTTTCTAAAACATACTTGGAAAATCAGCATACACCCAAGAGAAGGCAGGAGTCCTGGTGGCATAGTGGTTAAGAACTTGACTGCTAACCAAAAGGTCAGCAGTTCAAATCCACCAGCTGCTCCTTGGAAACTCTGTGGGGCAGTTCTACCCTTCCTATAGGATTGCTATGAGTTGGAAACAACTTGACGGCAACGTGTTTGTTTGTTTTTTTTTTTTTTAGCAAAGGCAAATAGTTTCCCTGAATAACAATGACAGTCAAGGCACCGATTTCTGATTTATTACATGTTAATTTTGTGCAGAGAAGAATAAATAAAATCATATTCCATCAGTTTTCCAGTTGCTCGTTTCTGATGCAGTTATTAGCAAAAGTCTGGGTTTTTAACATACTCATCGAGTTGTTTCCTGAGGGAGGTTTGAAAATTCTACTTAACTTCTACTCCTCCAGGGCCCCAAGGCTCAAGAGATGCTTAATTTTTGCCTTAGGGAAGAACAATCCTTCCTCCAACACATTAAGGTAATGATTAGGTGCTTCGACATCTCCTAAAGTATTCTAAGCATAACTTGTACCAAGGCACCCAAGAGAGAAAGGCCAAAGGAGCTCATTTAAGAGAGGCTCCCAGGGACCAGAACATTTAGCTTAACAACTCTGGCGCCACATGTGCAATAAAACACCCCTCGGAGGGCAGAGGAAAGAGAAGAAGCATCACTTCTATTTCAGATCGTCTCACTCTGCTATGCAAATTTCACTTTGGCACAGTCTTAAGGGACAGGATCCCAAAACCCACTGCTGTCGAGGCATAGCGACTCCACAGGGTTTTCAAGACTGTAAATCTCTGTGGAAGCAGACTGCCACATCTTTCTCTCACGGAGCCACTGGCGGTTTCGAATCACCAACCTTTCGGTTAGCAGTTGAGGGTTTTAACCACTGCACCAGCAGGGAGAGAACAAGGGTGTTTTCATATAGTTATTCCTGAATGTTACAAGTGCTTATGGTCAAAGCTACACTATTGCAACGAATTCTCAAGAAATTAGTAGCTTGTGTTCGGGCTGACATTTTTGGCCTAATATGTTACTTTTTGTTAGAATCTCGTCTAACAAAATATCACTCATCTAAAAAATAATGATTTTGAGTTATATTACAGATTAGCTCATAAAATAAAGAAGATCACCCGTGAGCACTGTGCTGCTTTAAAAAATCATCTAGATGACACCAACGGTCTACAATTACCCTAAAGCAAAGATAAGACAGTAACGGGGCAGGGAAACTAGAGTACTGGAAACGGAACACCCTGAACGGAAATGAGAATGATGACACATTGTGAAAAAAGTAGCCAATGTCACTGAACAATCTGTGTAGAAATTACTAGATGGGAACCTAATTTGCTGTACAAACTTTCACTGAAAACACAATAAAATGTTATTTAAAAATAATAATAATAGTGATTCGTCTCAGGAACATCGAAGTGAACAGGTGCTCAGTCTAGCACTCTGCTAGCCTCAGCATCAAGCATGGTTCATTGAGCAACTCGCTCCTGGTGGAATAAGGACCATCACTTTAGAATTTACAGCTCCTGGCTGATGGTGTTGAGCCAGTAACCACAGGGCATGTGTATGTGTAAGCATCTGTGTCTGTACACATTTCTCCCTCAGGGTCCAAAGGAGACATCTTTACCCTTGCGAGTGGCCAGACACGCCACAGCCCACCATTGTCCGCAGGAAGACGAACCAGGTGTACGAGGGAGAGAAGGAGGTCAGCAAGGAGAAGTAGGCGCCCCAAAGGAACGAGATGAACAAAATCTGAAGAAACCAAAGAGGACGTATTAATGGGGCCCGTCTCAACGGGGGGGACGCTAACTTTTGAAGATGTCTACATAGAGCCTATTGTCTATATACCATTACCACTGCCCATTGCCATGGAGTCAATTCTTACCCATAGTGACCCTACAGGACAGAGTAGAACTGCCCCATAGGGTTCCAAGGAGCAGCTAGTGGATTTGAACTGCCAACCTTTTGGTTAGCAGCTGCGCTCTTAACCACTGCGCCACCAGGGCTCTGGAATGAGGGTAAAGAGATAGTTTTTTTTTTTTTCAATATATTTGCTTTTTTTCTAATTATAATAAAAATAACACAAGTTCATAGGAGAAATTTGGGGAAAATCCAGAAAGAATAAAAAGGAAAACAGAAATCATCCTCAATCCTATAACCCAGAGAGAACGCTGTTAACACCGTTTTATCCTATTTTCCATGTTTGTAAGGAAAAACATATTTTTAATGGCTGCAAAATATTCCAGTGGAAAGACGTGAGACAGAACCCCCACAGTACTGTATTCTTTACCTGGCTTCCTCCCCAACAGTGTTGTATTGCAAAATCGTTTCCTTTGCTGGGCTCCCCACCCCCTCAGCTTTGCACTTGAATCTGGCTTTTGCTTGGAGGTTATATGTAAACCCCATTGTGCCTGTGTACTATGATTAAGAATGTTGCTGACTTAACTTGTACGAACTCCCTACTTGTAAACTCCTTTGAAAGTAACTTGCCTGCCTACCCTTGGTGAGCAGTCTTGGCAGCAGGAGCTCCGACTGACTCTTTTTCCTTGTACAACAAAATAAATGTGCCTTTCCTGTTCTCCCACCTCAGCCTCTCGTTTATTAGCCAATATGAGTCATGCTGAGTAAGAACCTGGGGTTTCCACCCGGTAACAGGTGTCCTACTGAAATGTCTTTAACCATTCCCCTGTTGCTGAACACAGAGGTTTCACATTTTCTTACTGTTAGAATAAGCTGCGGCATCATGGTTAAGTGCCCAGCTGCTAACCGAAAGGTCAGCGGTTCAAATCCACTGCTGGCTCTGAAAGAGAAAAGACCTGACAATCTGCTCCTGTAAAGATTACAGCCTAGGAAACCCTATGGGGCAGTTCTATTCTTTTCGATAAGGTCACTATGAGTTGGAATGGACTCAATGGCACCTAACACCAACAACAGAATAAACTGTGATGCCATCTCTGTGTATATATCTTTGTGGCCTTCTCTGATGATCTCACTAGGCTAGATTTCTAGAAGACAAAGTATCAGGTTAGGAGAAGTGGTATTTTCAAGACTCTTGATTCAAACAAAGTCTTTGGGTGGCACAAACAGTGTGCTGTTGACTATTAACCAGAATGTTGGAAGTTCAAATCCACTCAGCAGTGCCATGGAAGAAAGTCCTGGCAATCTACTTCCAAAAACTGAGTGATTGAAAACCCTATGGAGTGTAGCTCTACTTTGATACACACAGGGTCACCGTGAGTGGGTATTGACTCCATGGCAATGGGTTTTGGGTGTTTGATTCATCCTGCCAAGTTGAATATCAGAAGCCTTATACTGATAGTATACAAGGGTACGGGAAAATGTCCACTCCAGCAGTGCGGAATCTTTAAGGAAAAGAAAAATTCCTCATGGGTTTGATATCTGAAATGGCGTTGATAAGGAAAAATCTTATCTTGCTGTGTAATTTGGGTTTTGATAACAACTGCAATTTGAATGTTTTCCAAGGTTTCTTGGCTATTTGGATCGTTTCTGTTATAAAATCCCTGTTCTGGTTTTTACTTGTTTTTCTGAGATACTTGTATTTTCATATTAATTTGTAAGAGTTTATGATATTTATTTTATCTACTTGAAAAGATGCAGCCAATTCTATTAATGTTTTCCCTTGATGTTTCTCCCTTCATATTTCTGCTTAGAAAGCCCTTCCCCTCCAGAGATCGGGCGACAAAAGAGAGACTAGGGTTTGTAATCAGAAGACACAGGGTTATGTCTTGATATTTAATTTGAGGAGTTGTGTGAGGCTGAGGAAGCTGTTTATAGTTTCAAAACTACACCAAAGTTAACTAACATACAGCTGCTTATGTTTGCTGTTGCTCTGATGGTTAGTTGCCTGTGAGTCCCTTCAGACTCACGGCGACCCCTTGTATGCAGAGTAGAACTACCCCAAAGGGTTTTCAAGGCTGACCTTTTGGAAGCAGATCACCAGCCTGTCTTGCAAGGCACCTTTGGTTTGAACTGCCAACTTTTAGCTAGTAGTCGAGCACTTAGCTATTTGCACCAGAGCAAATTCCCATATTCTAATATTTTATCTATGCATATCCATCGACTCCACAGCTGGACTGCTGGGGCTCAGGTGTGGGGACAGGTACCTCAGGAAGCCTAGAAAGAAGCAAAACCTAGAACTGAGGGACGCAATGTGGAAGGAAATCTTCCCATGCTCTATCTTGGGTAGCAGCAGGGAAATGGCCACTGAAGAAAAACAATAATGATTATGCCACAAAAGAAAATTCAGATCATACTCCGAGGCCAGACCTACCTTCCAGCGACCATATCTGTCCGCCAGGAGGCCAAAGAAGATGCTGAATACCATGTAGCCAAAAAACACCATCTGGGGGGAGGGGGTGAGAAAAAAAATGATTCTCCAAGCAGAGCATTTATAATGTATTAATTTACTACCTTAAGCATTCATCCTTCTTCTCTAAAAGTAGACTGGAAATGTATAAGGGGTGGAAGTGGAACATTGGGAGGTGCATGAGTCTCTCTCCCCTGACTTCCGATTAATGTTTCCAGGATCTCAGAGGCTGAGGGTTAAGGTTTTTGTTGCTGATTCCACACCTTGGAGATACTACCACCAGGTGGAAGCAGGTATCCAGGAGCAGGTAACCACCTCGCTCGGATTCAGGAGGGTGGATTTGGCTGGTGGCACAGTGGTTAAAAGCTACAGCTGCTAACCAAAAGGTTGGCGGTTTAAATTCACTAGCTGCTCCTTGGAAACCCTATGGGGCAGTTCTGCTATGTCCTATAGTGTTGCTATGAGTAAGAATCGACTCGATGGCAATGGGTTTGGTTTGGTTTTTCTACTCAGATGGATAATTGTGAATTTCCGTTTGAATTTTTAAAAAAAATCCATGCTCTGCCTTATTCTGCCCGCAGGTTGAGGCCACTAGAAGCCATCTTCCCTTATGTTATTACAGGTAAGCATAGATTTGAAACACCAAACCCAACCATTCATTAAAACAGCTCTGCAAAACAAACATAAATCCTGCAATAACCTTTATATTTCTTACTTGTTTTTACAACAGCTGGTCCCACCCTGAAAAAATTCAAGGGCCGGCTAGGATGCCAGCTCCCTGGGTGACACAAACGGTTTGCACTCAACCACAGACCTAAAAATATCGGCAGTGTGAACCACCCATTGGTGCCACAGAAGAAAGTGCTGGCATTCTGCTTCTATAAAAGATGATAGTCTAAGAAAACTCAATGGAGCAGTCCTACTCTGTAACATGTGGGGTCGCCATGAGTCAGAATTGACTCAATGGCACTGGGTTCGGCTGTTTTTTTAATTTGGGTTGCTCGAATGGCTTGTCCTACCCTGATAACACCAAGGACCTGCCAGGACGGCAACACTCTAACTCGAATGAGCTGTAATCTGATGTCTTCGCCTTGAGGGGACGTGTTTTTCTGCCTTCAAGCAGTTCCAAGTTTTAGACTTGCTTCCTCTCCAGCAAGACCCCTGACGCTGCTTCCGGGGTAATCAAAGGAAAGGTGTCAGCTTGCCTTTCGGACACTCTTTCAACGAAAAAGCTCTGTTTCTTTCCTTGCTGCTTTACTCTCTTTCTTTCCTGCTTTGCTTTCTTATCCTTCCCCCACCCGTTCCCTTCACAGGGAAGACTCAAACACATTTCTTACTCCGTCACCCCACCCCACCCCAAAAAACCCACTAAATCCACTGCTATTGAGTCAAATTCCGACTCATAGAGACCCCATAGGACAGAGTAGAACTGCCCCATAGGGTTTCCAAAGCTGTAATCTTTATGGAAGCTGGCTGCCACATCTTTCTCCCTCGGAGCAGCTGGTGGGTTCAAACCTAGGACCTTTTGGTTAGAAGCCGAGCACTTAACCACTGCGCCACCAATGCACCTCTTTCTTCCCCAGGGAACTCTAAAAGCCACCATATCTATTCTTGAGCCCCAAAAGCCAAGATTTCCCCCCTCTCACTGTGTTTTCTAGGATAGGAATTGGGAAGAAACAAAAAGTCAGTGATTTCCAAATGTTTGTCCTGGAGTGATCTGCATCATAATAAAATGTAATCAGTCTTCAGGGAAATAGTAAAAAAGTAAGAACTATGCCAACTGTTTTGCATAAATCTAAATTTGTTAAGTGCAAAGGGCTCTCTTTATTCTGGGATATTTTCTTCCTAATTGTTGGTATTAATGTGTCCTTTTTCTGACATGTTGATGGGAGGCAATGGCAGGATTTTCTTCCTCTTTCTCCTTTTCTTTCAATGGCCTTACTTGATTTAAAAAAGAAAAAAAGAAAAATGCCAACCTTATGTCAGTCACTCAATTTTTAAAAAATTTATCGGTTGGTAAAGCCCAAAATTTCGATGCCATTGATATTAAGTAGCTTCTATTATTGAATTTGAAATTATCCAACACCCTTTAATCATTATATAATGTCCTTCCTTGTCTTGTATGGTGGATTTTGTTTTAAAGTCTAATTTATCTGAGATTAGTATTGCCAGTCCTGCTTTTTTTTTGGTAGCTGTTTGCTTGATATATTTTTTTTCCATCCGTTGATTTTTAATATATTTATGTTTTTGTTTCAAAGGTGTGTCTCTTGTAGACAGCATATTGATGGGTCCTGTTTTTCTCCATTCTGTCACTCTGTCTTTCTATGGGTGCGTTTAAGTCATTTACCTTCCGTGTGATTATTGATAAGTGTGAGTTCATTGCTGTCATTTTGTAATGCCTTTTTTTTTTTGTGGTGTTGACGTTTTCTTTGTTCCTCTTGCTCTACTGTGCCGAATTCCTTTTGTTTGTGGATTTTTTTGTTTGTTTCGTTTTTGTAGATTTTGTATTTACTGAGACTTTAAGTTTTTCAGCTTCAGTTTGATGAGTAGGTTTGTTAACTGTCTTTGGAATTTATCCCTGTCTTCCTAAGTTTAAACCATTCTTCTATTATTTGCTATCACCTTGACTTCCTCTCCATTTGAAGGGTCTATGCCTACCCCATTTATTCCTTCTTTGATTGTTCTGACATTGTTGTCATTTACAGATTGACCTCTCTGGTTCCCTGTTGTAAATCTTTTAGTTCTGTTTTCTCCTGGAGAGTTCATAATCCAGTTGGTATCTGGCTGATGCAGTCCAGGGTCTTAGATTCAAATTGTTGTCTGATGTTGTTGGTTCTATAACCGAAGGACTCCCTTTAATAATTCTTGAGGTTTGGTTTGGTTTTTACATATTCTCTTAATTTCCATTTATCTGAAAATATTCTAATTTCACCATTATATTTGAGCATGAGTTTTGCGGGATATATTATTCCTGGTCAGCAATATTCTTCTTTCAAGGTTTTGTATATGTCATCCCATTGCTTTCTTGCCTGCATGGTTTCTGCCCAATAATCAGAGCTTAGTCTTATTGTTTCCCTTTTGTATGTGACTTTTGTTATTCTCGAGCTGTTCTCAGGATTCTTTGTCTTTGGTTTTAGCAAATGTGATTATGATATGTCTTGATGATTTTCTTTTGGGGGTCTGTCCTATCTGGGGTTTGTTGAGCTTCTTGGATGGTCAGCTTTTCGTCTTTCATGATATTAGGGAAGTTTTCTGTCAGCAGTTCTTCAATGATCTTCTCCGTGTTTTCTGTTTTCTCCCCGTTCTACAACTCTGATCACTCACAGATTTTTGCTCTTGATTGTATCCCACGTCGTTCTCAGGGTTTCTTCAATTTTCTTCATTTCTTTTCTCTGATTTTACCTCAAAGTGCTATCCAAGGATTTGTCTTCAATTTCGCTGCTTTTGTCTTCTATTGTTTCAGATATGCTTCTAAAATCTTCTATTGCACTGTCCATTTCTGAAATCTTGTTTATCTTTTGGATTTCTACTTGCTGTTTTTGTACAATTTCTAGTTGTTTGTTTATTTGCACATTTTGTTCCTGTATTATTTTTCTGAATTGTTCCATTGCTTTGTCTGTGTTTTCCCTGATTTTGTCTATTTTTTCCTTATTTTTTCTGTGTTTTCCTTCATCTCTTGGAAAGCCCTCGATATTAGAGTTTTGAGTTCCCTATCAGGTATTTTCAGTGGCTTTTCTTCTATGAGAAAGTTATCTGGTGTTTTATTTTGGTCATTTTCTGGAGCCATCCTGTCTTGTTTTTTTATGTTTTGATATTGTCTGCTGTCTTCAAGACATTCAGGAATTTTGTTTGTTTGTTCATTGATTGTAGATTTGTTTGTTTTGTCCTACCTTTTTCTCTTATTTGGTTATGTCTTGGCAGGCGGGCTGAGCATGCTTTGTTGCTTGCTCATCTATGGGCATGATCCTTCTCACTACCTTGTCCAGGTGGGCAGGGCCAGCTCAGCTATGCTGCAGCAGGGCAGGTCCATGGTGGGGGGGTGGATATGGGTCATTTGCTGCATGTATTGGGGCCAACAAGGTGGGACTGGAGGACAGTGCTGGGCAGGGTCCAATGGTTCCCGTTGGTGCCACTCAGGGGAGTGGTGCTCAGTGCACAGTGCAGATAGGCAGGAGGGAAGGGACAGAATGTGATATGTGCAGCTAAGTGGATAAGAGAAAGAAGAGACAGAAACAGAGGCAAAAAAAAGTAAAAAAAAAAAAAAGTAAGTAAAATGGCTGAGTGGTAAGATTCGGCTGGTGGGGGCAGGGCAGATCCTTCGAGGCTGTGTGCTGGTGACTCTCTAGCCGAGCCGTGTGGCTCTGCTTGTCAAGAAGGGGCATGGACCCTGCACAGGCTAGGTGATCAAGAGAACGGAAAGGAAAGAAGGGAAGGAGGGAGAAGAAACAGCAAAAAGACAAAAACAAACAAAACAACAACCACATAAATAAATAAATATGGTGCTGGGAGAGCCAGTCATCGGGGGTGATGCGGAATTAGGGTGGTGGCGAGCTAATCTCTCTCTCACCGGGCAACACAGTATGGCCTATCAGGAAGGGGTGGAGGCAGCACAGGGCCTAGATGGGAGGGAGAAAGAAAAGGAGAAGGGGAAATATAAAGAAAAATTAAAAATATGGCTCTGAGGGAGCTGGCCTGTGGGGGTGGCACAGACCTGGGGAGGCCGTGTGCCTGATGTTCTCTAGCCAACAGGTATAGCACAGCCCATCAAGAAGGGGGGGTGGCACACAGGGGCAGGTAGGTAGGGGGAAGGAAGGGAGAGAGAGAGAAGAAACAGCAACAAAAGAAAAGAAAGACAAACAAAAAAAGGAAAAAAATTGGTACTGAGGGAGCCTGGTGGTGGAGGCAGCGCAGATCTGGGGAGGCCGTGTGCTGGTGGCTCTCTAGCTGAGCGGTGTGGCACAGCCCATTAAGAAAGGGCAGGGACAGCACACGGGGCTAGCTGGGCAGGAGAAGCTAACAATACACAAACACCAGAA